CTGTGAATATTTCAACGAAAAATATTTCAAACACGTTTTCATACTTAAAAATTCAATAATTCATATTCAATTTTCAGATTTCACTTAAAAAATATTCAATACCCTTTAAAAATACGATGTATAATATTCAAAAGGTCATTTTCAGTTCATTTTATTTCAGTTCTAATATTCGCTTCCATAAATTCAGTGGATCAAATTCGACTGATAAATTTCAACATTACATCCGGGAACTGCAGGAGAAGCAATAGATTGCAGAGTGAAGATCGCAGCTGCTCTAGCTTTCACCAGCAGGTGGAGATGGAATAATGTAAGATTTTTAACCCAGTAAACAGGCGAGAAAAAGGCTAATAAAGGCAAAAAAAGTAGCATTCAATTTTAATATCAATGCCTTGGACATTATAAATAATAAAAAGTATGAGTAAAATGAGTAAATGAGGTTTTAGTCATCTATATTTGCCCTTATGTAACGGAAGCCAGCTGGTGATCGCGTAAAGCTCACTCCTGATCCAGGGACAGACGTTGTTCTGCAATCTTATCGGAGCTTGTCTCCCATGCTGGCTCGTTACCTGCTCGGACCGGTGCGGTTATGTGCACATAAACCGTCTTTTGATGATGATGTTACACATTGTCTATCATTGACTCTTTCTTCCATAGACGCTAAGTATTATATTGACAGCTAAAGAATATAAACGTATGAGAAACAGGAGAGAAAATATAATAATAATAATACAAAATAGATAAACATTGACAGGGCTAAGAACAATTACGATCAAAGATTTTCAAAACCAGAGAGATTTTATGAGAATGTCACAAAACAGTTTACTTGGAAATGTTAAACAGAGTTCAGGTATGATTTAAGGTTGGTTATGGATGGGGTGTCTAATTTAAAATAATTTAAGATGATAATGCATTAAAGGAGCGTCTTCAGTTATTATTTAAACGCAGCTATGTCAGGATTGGGATAGGTTATAATTTCATTATTTAAATTATGATTGTTATTATTATTATTTTAGCGCCCCACAGCAAACTGAAGAGATGCTGGATGGCTGCCAATATATGATGGGAATTCTTCCAAAGTTTTAGATGATATCTGGGCTTGTGCATAATAATGTAAAATGAAAGTGAAAGTCATGACATTTGGCCAAGCATAAGAATAGCCTACAAAAGTGTTTCGATTATTATATTAATCATGACATATGTCATGCTTAGGCTTATATGAATAACACCTCGCTGTTTACCATTTCCGAAAGTGGAGCTGACGTCGGCGAGAAATTGCTTGTATAATTGTAAAAAGAGTGATGAATATTAATGGATTTCTTATATCTGTCATTTCTGATAATATAATTGATTTAGTGTGAGCTAATGAGTTTCCAACACAGCAAAAATGCATCCAGAATCCTAAACCAATAACTTTGTCAAGCAAAAATTATGATTTTATAGGCTACTGATTTTTTTTAAAAAACAAGAAAAAAGAAACTATTAGCTACCCTAGCAATTGTTTATTTAAATATGATCATCTCAAAATATAAAATAAAAACATAATGGTTTGACTTCGTGAAATCATAAAACAGACTTGCAGAAAAGAGTTAATAGAATAAATGAGCAAATACATTCTCTCCAGTAGATGGCGATTAAAGCTCAGTAACCCCATGAGGATGAACATTGAGCTGCATTGCAGGAACCCCTTAACCACGCATGTCAAACCACGCATTCTAAACATTAATCTTATGAAACTAGCTCAAGTGACAACTATATTAAATTTAAACCAGTTTAAATAAGTTCATATGTTTAATAACTGCAAAAAAGATCAACATTGCTAATCATAAAATACAAACGGTCGCTGCAAAGTTATAAATAACGGTTTTCTCATTTAATACTGAAAACAAATTAAAGTCAGTTATAACTGGCTATTATCAAACCACAAGCGACTCATTTTATTACTTATCATTGGCTGCGACATTGCCACTTTTGCGTTAATACCTTTTTCTCGCCTATAGGCTACATAACAATAAAACAATAATCTGGACAAACTAAGACATTTTGCAAACGTTTAACCATGGCAGAACCCCAAAAACTAGAAAAAAGAAGAGAACGACAGGCAGAGTGATAAAAAGGATAAATAGAAATATTAATTTAGAATCACGGATGACTTATTTAAGCGCAATAGCCCAAATAAATGTCATACAATAATAATATTAACAATCATAATTTAAATGATAAAAATGTATAACCTATCCCAATCCTGACATAGCTGCGTTTAAACAGCGCAAACATTACTCCTTATAGTTATGCGATATTAGACGGTTCTGTGTGAATAACTGAAGACGCTCCTTTAATGCATTATCATGTTAAATTATTTTAAATTAGACGCCCCATCCATAACCAACCTTAAATCATACCTGAACTCTGTTTAACATTTCCAAGTAAACTGTTTTGTGACATTCTCATAAAATCTCTCTGGTTTTGAAAATCTTTGATCGTAATTGTTCTTAGCCCTGTCAATGTTTATCTATTTTGTATTATTATTATTATATTTTCTCTCCTGTTTCTCATACGTTTATATTCTTTAGCTGTCAATATAATACTTAGCGTCTATGGAAGAAAGAGTCAATGATAGACAATGTGTAACATCATCATCAAAAGACGGTTTATGTGCACATAACCGCACCGGTCCGAGCAGGTAACGAGCCAGCATGGGAGACAAGCTCCGATAAGATTGCAGAACAACGTCTGTCCCTGGATCAGGAGTGAGCTTTACGCGATCACCAGCTGGCTTCCGTTACATAAGGGCAAATATAGATGACTAAAACCTCATTTACTCATTTTACTCATACTTTTTATTATTTATAATGTCCAAGGCATTGATATTAAAATTGAATGCTACTTTTTTTGCCTTTATTAGCCTTTTTCTCGCCTGTTTACTGGGTTAAAAATCTTACATTATTCCATCTCCACCTGCTGGTGAAAGCTAGAGCAGCTGCGATCTTCACTCTGCAATCTATTGCTTCTCCTGCAGTTCCCGGATGTAATGTTGAAATTTATCAGTCGAATTTGATCCACTGAATTTATGGAAGCGAATATTAGAACTGAAATAAAATGAACTGAAAATGACCTTTTGAATATTATACATCGTATTTTTAAAGGGTATTGAATATTTTTTAAGTGAAATCTGAAAATTGATTATGAATTATTGAATTTTTAAGTATGAAAACGTGTTTGAAATATTTTTCGTTGAAATATTCACAGATTAAATAAACAGATATGTTAAATTTCAGGACCTAAAAATACAAACCCTGGAATTCAAGTCATTAAAATGCAAGAACTTGTTAATACGGTGTATTATTTTTTTCAGTTTGTGATATTCAACAAGCTTTTTAATTCAAGACTTTAGGCATTGATTTTGTTCCATAGTACACTTAATTTCAGAAATTTATTTCGTATTCATATGCAAAAAAAATTATCAGGTAAACAAACCTTGCACACTGAGTTTGATGCCAATCCGTAACAAAAAAAAAAAACTAAGAACATTTTTGAGTCAGTTCAAGCAGTGATATTTTAGTCTTCTCTCTTCTCCAAAGAAGAAAAAAAAAGGACTAGGCTACATATTGTGTTCATTTAATACTAGCTTACATAGAGAGGAAGGAGAGTTCAGCTCATTATCAAAGATGAACTGCAACTTCAAAGGTGGAAACAAATGGTCAGACTTTGATTGAAGATTATCAAAACAAGCTTTTTTCAGTGTGTTAATTTGCATGGAAATTTACCTTAAGACTAACAATGTAGCTAGCAAAATAAACACTGTAAATTTTGAATTCATGCAGACTGTAAACTCAAAATCATTATGTAATTAAATAACAGAGAAAAATTCATTAAACATTTAAGTGGTGTAATACAGTGTTTTCTTTAGGATTTTTTTCCAGCTGTGGTGGCAGGCCTTTTACACAGATCTACCAACTACCTATGGCGTTATTTCAATGATAAATGTCGTGAACGCAGTATTACAAGTCGAGATTGCATTTATGTAATACAAGCATGCGAATCTCTTTATTTGTGCACCTTTTTTGTGTTAGTGCAAAAAACTTCTTGCACGCCCTCAAAGGTATGCTGCGCAAGTGCGATTTAGTGCGTTTATGTAATGAGTATGTCTCACATATTTGTTACATTGGCAAGAAATATTTATGAATGACCTACAGAATGGCATTAATGCATCCTTAAGTAAAATAAAATGAACATAAACTCCAGCAAGATAAAGTCATTGTCTATAAATAAAGTATAGTTATAGAATCTGTTTTCATCTTAACTTAAAGCCAAGTAGTGTTAGCTAGCCTCACGAGTCAGTCAGTCAGCATGTTAACATAAAGGGTTAAACAAATAATGCACAGCACTACTACGATTACAGAAAAGTTTGCTCTGTTATAATTCACTTACCGTTTATTACGTTTTGGTGCGATTATAACCCGCTATTAAAAAAAAAAACTAAATACTGAAGGTTTTGAATGAGAAGCTGCAATGTAGCCATGGCGGGATGAATTTTGGTGTGGTGCTCTGACATGGAAGAATGAATGATTAAAATAAAAATACAACCTGAAATATTTAAATAGCTAATATAAACTTTTAATTACTTCTATAATAGTTTTGTATTTTAAGCAACGGAGATAAATAATTATCGAAAATAAAAATGAAAGTAGACTAAAGACTTTTTTTTTTTTTTGTACGCTCTTGTGCTTGGATAGAATTTTGCTTTGCATTCACTAACTTTAAACATACGGGATGGCTCAGGGTGATCTAATATACTTATCTGAACCCGTGTGCCTGATGAACTTGTCCAGCAGCTTGAAGGCGCACTGTGTGTTGCAGAATAAGCAACAGTCGTGATCCGTGACCTAGAACCAACTGAAGAGGTCAAGTTTCTGTTGTAGAAACTAAGAGACGTACAACTACAGATCACATGTTAATGAACTTTGCCTATAATTGAGCTTTTCTTTTCTATCCTTCTCCAGGATAAACATCATGATGCTGCACACGAAATCATCGAAACCATTCGGTGAGTCCATTACCTGTTTTGATTTGATATTATTATTATTATTATTATTATTGTGTGTGGTTTGCTGATTAAGTTTTGTTATTATTGACTAATTGTTGGTATTCTAAAAGTAATAGTGATTCTTTTAACAATATCAGTGTTGAGTTCCTGCTTCATAGATGTGGAAACTGATGCATTATTGTTTTTAGGATTCTTTGATCCTAGTCAACTTTAAGAATTTATTTGCCATTTTTAGATCATAAAAATCTTTCACTTTTGAAAGCTTTAATCCTTCATAAGCAAAAGTAATTTATTTTAATGGTACTTTAGAATGGGACTTTTACAGAGTTTCCAAAAAAAATATGATGCAACTCAATAGTTTTTGATTATAATTCAACAGTGATGGTTCTAATACACGTTTCTTTAGAAGCAGAGAATGCATCATATATGAATGTGAGACTCAAAATTGGAGTAATGATGCTAAATGTTCTGCTTTAATTCACAGAGATAAATACAATTTTAAGCTCCAATCAATAATAAAAACGTTATTCAAAATTGTGGAAACCATTTAAGAATTTTTAATTGCACAAATGCAACCTTTTTAAAAGTAGTTCATATAAGAAAATGTGGATAAAAATGCATGACCTGCTGCTTTTTGTGTGTATAGCTGGGTGTGTGAAGAGATCCCAGATCTTAAGCTGGCCATGGAGAACTACGTTCTTATTGACTATGACACCAAGAGGTGAGAAATGTTCTCTTAAAAAGAAGAAGCTTTAAAATAAATAAATATTAACATTGACTGTTAATTTCTCTATTCTATTTAGTAGTTATTATTTATTTAAAAGTGCCATCTTTGTATTTTTGCAGCTTCGAGAGTATGCAGAGACTATGTGATAAGTACAACAGAGCCATCGACAGCATTCACCAACTGGTACGTCAGATCTGTCGCGATAAAAAACATATGATATTTTAAACTGCGTTTGTAAATGCAAATTGAAAAGGGCAAGCACAAATTGTTTCATACATTTGTGTATTGATAAACGTAAACAGTAATATAATTGGTTAAAATAATTGAGTCCAAAATACAACAACTGCATACTGGAGCGCAATTACTGCATACGGAGCTTTACTATTATTATTATTATTATTATTATTAACTTGAACTTCTATGTTTAGCTGCTTTGACATAATCTACATTGTCAAAGCACTATAGAAATAAAGACGAATAGACACATGGAAATGTGTATGTACATGTTACTTAAAATATAATAAAAAGGAATTGGAAAAAAAAAAAAGAAAGACGAATTGAATTGAATAAAAAAAACACATCCCCAAATGTAGAAATGGCGAATTCACCACCATAATTGGGGTAAATCGGTTTTAAGTACCGGTTAAATTTAAAGCTAAACAGTGAATTTTATCTGAATGAACAGAAAGTTTAGAAGATTTTAAATTTAGTTTAGTATTATTGATTAGGGGCGGGGCTTTCTATTTGTGCATCATTCCCTTATAGCAGACTAATGCTGCTGTCACACTAGAGTTGTAAAACTCTGTCGTATTGCGCTGTGAGAAGAGGCAGAATTAAACAAGTTAATTAGATATTTAAAAAGGCGAGTGATTGGTCCAAATTAAAAATTTCTTGTCAGAAATTCCACAAGTACGAGTTTAAGTTGAACTTTGCAACTGCATGAGCTTGGGTTTCCACTCTGTCGCATTCACATGCGTATGAATGGAAGTCTATGAGGCAAAAAGTGCAGTGATCACGGCTTAACAGTAAGAGAGCTGCGGTTAAAGCCATCAAACTGACCTCAACAGAAAAACCGCCACTCTAAACATAAAAGAGAATGCTCACAATGTGATTGAAGATTTTCAAAACAGACCATTAATTTTAGTAGATTAACCTGCATGCATTGTTTCGACTAAAGAATTGTGAATTTTGCTTTCGTACAGACTTTGAAGCGCAATGCCAAATGTTGCTGTTTTTACCTCGAATAACATGTAAAATTGTGTGTTTGTGTGTTGTGCAGTGGAAAGGGACCACCCAGCCTATGAAACTGAACAAGCGGCCTTCCAATGGCTTGCTGCGTCACATCCTGCAGCAGGTCTACAACCACTCTGTCACCGACCCGGAAAAACTCAACAACTACGAGCCATTTTCTCCAGAGGTATACGGAGAGACCTCCTTCGACCTGGTGGCTCAAATCATCGACGAGATGGAGATGATGGAGGAAGACACCTTTGTGGATCTGGGCAGTGGTCAGTAACATCACTTTGTGAACGTTTGTACTAGTGCTGGGCAATAAAAAAATGTATATATGATATAAAACCATATTTTATATCATTCGATATTTAAGGAATAATAGGATTTAAATTTTTTTTAAACACTTTGTTTTCATTTAGCAACATTACTAAGGCAAATAATTTTAATAGTCAAAAAAAAGTAAACAAAATAACTGATCTATTTTCTCTAAATTAAACATAATCATTAAATAGACTCTTAAACTTGATAAATAAAATCTAACAAACACTTTAGGGTAGATAAACATCTGTGAGGTGTCAATAATAATGATGCAATAAACCTCTGTAAAATTCACTCTGTAAACAAACTCTGTAAATTATGACAGTCAAATTGGAGCTTTCATGTAAAGGAACTAACCATCATTATTCAAATACATACTGCATTCAGATGGGGAGCTAGTGGTTAGGATGCACAAGAAAAGAAACCAAAAAGCCACTCTAGCGACATCCTTACATTCTTTTTTTATTTGCAATCTTCTCACTGCTGCTAGCCATGGCACTCGTTTTCTTATCTATTGTTATTTTGACCTAAAATGACAAGCGCGCACACATGGTTTCCTGGAGCATTTACAATGGATATGTTTCAACAAGGTGCGGCTAGAAAATGCGCGCACGTCAGGCGTCATGTGTGCGCATCGCTTCCATACGCTTCCATACGCTCAGCAGCCACATTTTAATCAAACTATAGCCTGCATAACAAAACTTCATACCGAATCTTTTTTTTTTTTTTTCGATATTGACATTGGTGTTCGGACAATAAATATCTATACAGATTTTAGCGCCCAGCCCCAGTTTGTACTACGGTTAGTGCAATTCAGAAAATGGAAATAAAATCAAAAAATACAATGGCTGAATCAAGACCAAAGTTAATCTTAATGGACGTTAATTTACACATAATTGGAAAGTACAGCAAAAACTCAAAAAAAGCAAAATAATAAAAATAACGACAAGTAAAAAAGAAATGCAGTTGTGGATTGTAAAATGCATCAGCAAATTTGGCTACTACAATTTATTATAAATGGGCCTTTAGGGGTGAAGTACAATAGAAATGCAACGGCAAATAAAAACAATTAATTAATTAATAAATAAAAAAAACATCAAGTCCTGGACCGGTATCGGTCCGTGGATCAATTGGTACCAGGCAACACAAGAAATCATTAATCATTTCCGTTTTTATTATTATTTCTGTCTGAACATATTTTTCAACTGAAGTGCATCTCAGAACTCTTAACATGATCTTAAAATCCACGATACATACATCTTCAAATTTAATGTACAGCTTTCATCTCCTCCTTTGCAGGGGTCGGTCAGGTGGTCCTGCAAGTTGCTGCGGCCACCAATTGTAAACACTACTATGGCGTGGAGAAAGCAGACATTCCAGCTACCTATGCAGAAGTACATACATAAAATACTCCTTAAATAGCCCAAAAAAGTGGACGTTTTACATTTAATCTTTACATCTGAATGTCTTTACAGTCAATGGACAAAGAGTTTAAGAGGTGGATGAAGTGGTATGGCAAAAAACATGGCGAGTACACGGTGAGCTTGTTCAATTTTTGTTTATTCTAAACTCATTGTGGCTTATGGGATGAAATATATCAATACTGATGTCATTTGGGCAGCTGGAAAGGGGAGATTTCCTTTCAGAAGAATGGAAGGAACGAATAGCCAGTACAAGGTATGATCAAATACAGGCTAGTAAGATTTACAAGCTTTAATAATCTTGTTTTGCTCTTTTGCTCGCATGTGTGCATATGTCTTGTGTAAGTCTGTAGTATGATGTGTTCTTTTGCAGTGTTATTTTTGTGAATAACTTTGCCTTTGGTCCTGAGGTGGACCACCAGTTGAAGGAACGATTCGCCAACATGAAGGAAGGTTCGTGGAGTTGAATTTGATATTACAGTATGGATGCACACTAGTTTTATTTAAGCATCACGTTAGAGTATTTCAGTCACTTCTAACTTAAACTGAAAGGTACTTTTCTGTTTACATTTGAAAGAGAAAGGGATCTGTGTTGGTGGAGCTTAAAGGCACCTGTGTCAACATGTCATTCTTGACCTTTGGCTCCAGTCAGACTTGCTTGTATTGACCTGCAGATGTCAAGGAGATGATCTATATGGGTTAATTTTTTCTGCTTTGTTTCCTGGCTCAATTTCATTCTCCTACCTTGTAGGTGGAAAAATTGTTTCCTCTAAACCATTTGCACCTCTTAACTTCAGAATAAACAGCCGAAACTTGAGTGGTGAGTATGAAACATTAGGTCACATTAGGTTTTTACTACAAAATGATTACACAATGTAAAAATAAAGTACAATTGCTATCATGTTTTTGGTACTTTGGTGGTTAAACGGTGATGCATTGTAAGGCACCGCTTCCTTGAGAAAAAAAAATGTCAAAAGCGAAGCAATTCCTGATGTATAACTTGTAACACACTTTCATACCAAACAGATTTGTGCATATAATGTTTGGGAAATCGGCATAAAAAACCTTCACGTTTACAACTTATCCTCAGATCTTTATCAATGCAAAAGTTTATGTGAAATGTAAACCAAAATGTTGTATATTTTCATCATTTTAAAGTAAACTATTGGACCTAATCTGAAGTCTTAAGTGTGAAACTTTCAACCTTACACAACCTATTCAATTTCTGTTAGTTCTGTTAATTTATGTAAATACTGAAAACTGGAGAAGTCTATCATCCTTACAATTTCTATATCCTCTTGGTCACTGTCCTAAATTCACCTGAAAAGTCTAGCTTTAGATTAAATCTGCAAAATAAAATTATTCACCCTTTAACAATTTCTACTGGTTGGCTCACCAATTTTGTGTAAATGTGTAATGTGTATTTATATATCGCATTTATCGTGTTTGGCCATACACCCAAAGCGCTTCACAATCATGAGCGCAGTCTCTCCACACCACCTTCAGTGTGCAGCATCCACTTGGATGATGTGACGGCAACCATAAGACAACGGCGCCAGTGCGCTGACCACACAGCAGCTATAGATGGAGTGGAGAGACAGTGATAGAGCCAATTCGGTGGATGGGGATGATTGGGAGGCCATGATCGGTAAGGGCCAATGGAGGGAATTAGGCCAGGACCCTGGGGCTACACCCCTACTCTTTGCGAAAAGAGGCATGGGATTTTTAATGACCACTGAGAGTCAGGACCTCGGTTTAATGTCTCATCTGAAAGACGGCGGTCACTGACAGTATAGTGTCCCTTTTACTATACTGGGGCATTAGCCCTGATTAAGGCTGATTCATACTTTTGTGTCAAGTGCACTCACACAAGCAGCCTACGTATGGTCGCATAGCCCTCACCATAGCTGTCGATGACGCTGATGCCCAACTCTCAAAAAATGTAACTACACGTCGCAACAACGTGTAACGCAAGATCTGTGATTGCATGACTTGGTAGCGCTGACAATTGTGGGAGGAGGTGAGAACTGCGTGAGCACCGTGAGAACGGATGCAGCGAGTGTTTACAAATGTGAAGTCCCGTGAAGGAGCTCCGGATGGAAATGATTGTTTTGTGTTTACCTTAGTATTAAAGTTGTTGCACGTCCGCCGATTTAGAGTTTGAGCCACTTGTACATTAAAGTAGTGTTCAGAAAAAATAAAACACCAGTGAAGAAACTCGACACAGAGAAACATAAACACCTACTGCCAGCTACCATTTCTGGAGTGTTATTGCAGAGCAACACACACAGCATGCAGAGGTATAAATGCACGGCTACCTGCATTGCATGTGCCGTGGGATATGCCGATCCCTTAACGCAGAAGTAACCGGTCTTGGGGCTGCACGATGGTATGGCTATGGCCCAAAACCAAAAAAAAAAAAAAAAATGTGTCTTTAAATCGCCAGCTTTACATTAAAACTTCAACCCAAAATGAAATGTGCATAGTAAAATCGTTAATCTTTTCAAAATTCTCATTTCTACTGGTTGGCTTGGCAAATTTGCGTAAAAAAATTTTTGTTGGTAAATCGCCAAATACACATAAAAAAAACTTCAACCCAAAATTACATCTGCATAATAAAGTCATTCATCGTTTCAAAATTCTCATTTCTACAGTTTGTTTTTTCTAGGCAAATTTTATAAAAAATAAAAATAAATTCTCTGTGGGTAAATTGCCCAATTTACATAATTTCTCATTGATCCTGGTGGCTCACCAATTTTGTGTAAAAAAAAATCTTAATTTTTATTGGTAAATTGCTAAATTCACATTAAAACTTCAAGTCTTCATAGTTAAATAATTCACTTTTTTTTTAAATTCTAATTTCTCCTGGTTGGCCCGCCAATTTAGTGAAAAAAAAATAAATAAAAAAAATTCTGTTGGTAAATTGTCAAATTCACATAAAGCTTCAACCCCTAAATGAAATTTGCACAGTAAAACTTACTGGTTGACTCACCAAATCAAAAAACGACATTCACCATTGGGAATTTGCCAAATTTATTGGGGGAAAAATAAGCTTCAACCAAAAATGAAATCTTCATAGTAAAATTATTCACCTTTTCTCCTGGTAGGCTCGCCAAATTTGTGTTGAAAATTATCTGTTCTTAAATTGCCAAATTCACATAACTTCAATTCAAAATGAAGTTTGCATAGTACAACCTACTGGTCTACTTGTTTGCTCTCCAAAAAAAACAAAACATTATTTATTGTGAAATTGCCCAATTCGCTTAAGAAAAAGCTTCAGCTGGAAATAAAATCAAAATAATAAATGATGAATCCTGAACCAATCAGAAAGTCCATATGAAAAGCCTTTCACTCTTTAAGCAAAATTCTCAACCTCATTGAGAGACTGGAGCTTACTTGTAAAAGGAGTAAATGTGATCTTGTCTTTACATTTGATGCCTATATGTAACAGGCTTTTTCTTCATGCAGATATTGGCACAATAATGCGAGTTGTGGAGCTGTCCCCTCTGAGGGGTTCGGTGTCCTGGACAGGGAAGCCAGTCTCGTACTATCTGCATACAATAGACCGCACCATAGTAAGTGTGCTTTCATTCGTGACAAGCTGCTTTTGTTGTTCCTCTTGGTGTACAGTGGAAGTCTAATTTGCATTAGCCCTTATTGCTAGGCAAATGATGTTAGACAGGCCTTTATGTTTTTGTGAAACACTGAATTTCACATGTTTGAGTATTTACACAAATCTGACTAAATACTTTCTATTTGCAGCTTGAAAACTATTTTTCTAGTCTCAAAAATCCTAAACTCAGGGTAAGCCTTTTCTGTTTGATCTACGATGTTGTTCATGAGTTTTTGGACAAAATGTGAAGCTAATTCTCTTCCCACAACACATGCGGTGTGTTTTTGGTTCCAGGAGGAACAGGAGGTTGCCAGAAGGCGCCCACAGAAGGACAGTAAAGAGAACAAGAGCAACACCACCACCCCGACCAAGCCTAAAGAGCACAAGGTAGACCTGCAGGACAATCATTCATTCACATCTGCAGAGTAAAATCATAGTTTGTTTATGGATAGTTCATTAATTCATTCACTTGTTCATTCATTCACACAACTGCATGGTAAAATCATTGGTTATTTGTGAATAGTTTGTTCGTTCAATCATTCATTCACGACTGCATAGTAAAATCATAGCTTATGCATAGTTCATTCATTCACAACTGGATAGAAAAATCATAGTTCGTTTATGCATAATGCATTCATTCCCAACTGCATAGTAAAATCAGTTCATTTATGGATTGTCAGTTCATTCATTCGCTGATTCATTCATTTATTAATTAATTCATTCACAATCGCATAGTACAATCATAAATCATTTATGGATAGTTAGTTAATTCATTCATTCAATCCTTCATTCAAATCATAGTTCTTTTATGCAAAGTTTATTCATTCATCATTCACATCTACATTGTAAAGTCATTGTTCAGCGTCCATAGTTCATTCATTCATTCACAACTGGATAGTAAAATCATAGTTCAACATCTATAGTTTGTTCATTTATTCTTTCTTTCATTTATTCATTCATAACTGCATAATAAAGTCGTAGTTCATTTATGGATGGTTAATTCATTCTCTCATTCATTCACAACTGCACAGTAAAATCATAGTTCAGTTATGCACAGGTCATTCATTCACAACTGCATAGTAAAATCAGTTCATTAATGGATAGTTAATTCATTCACTCATTCATTTACAACTGCAAGGTAAAATCATAGTTCAGCATCCATAGTTTATTTGTTCATTCATTCACAACTGCACAGTAAAATCATAGTTCATTTATGCACAGGTCATTCATTCACAACTGCATAGTAAAATCAGTTCATTGATGGATAGTTAATTCATTCACTCATTCATTTACAACTGCAAGGTAAAATCATAGTTCAGCATCCATAGTTTATTTGTTCATTCATTCACAACTGCATAGTAAAATCATAGTTCATTGATGCATAGTTTATTCGTTCACAACTGCATGGTAAAATCATTGTTCAGCATCCATACTTTGTTCATTCTTTCATTCATTCATTCACAACTGCATAGTAAAATCATAGTTTTTATGCATAGTTTATTCATTCATTTATTCACAGCTGCATAGTAAAGTCATAGTTAATTTATGCATAGATTATTCATTTATTCACAGCTGCTCAGTAGTCATGGTTCATTTGTGCATAGTTCGTTCATTCATTCATTCATTCATTCATTTATTCACAATTACATAGTAAAGTCATAGTTTAATTAAGGATAGTTCATTCATTCATTCATTCATTCATTCATTTTAAATGTATGCAATACATATTTTCATATTTTACACATCTTGTAATTATGTACTTGAAGTAAAATTAATTGTTTGAATAAAACATAAAAAATAAGTGATACATTTAAATATCTATTCAACTTTATTTTTTATAATTTAAATCTAATAGTTTTATCTACCTTAATTATATATTTATCTATCCTTTTATGAATTTTTTGGTTTCTATGTTCGCATTTTTTTAAAATCATTAATTTATTCATTTTTAATTTGAACATGCAGTTGAAACATTTTATTTATAATAATTTAATGATAAATATTTTTTATGATTTCACTTATTTGTTTTATAATTCATCTATTGTACTATTTCATATATTCATATATATCAATTTAATTTTTCCATACTTATGTATTTAATCAAATTCGTAAATGATCTATTGCTTGATTAATACACATTCTTTTCAATTTATCTTTTTGTTACACTTAAAAATAAATCTGCATTTTTTAAAATAATTATACAGTTTATAATTTAGATATTTTTGTATTTCAGCTCTGTCAATTTATACAATTAAAACTCAATGTTTATTATTTTTAAAAGTTATTTTAGATTTCTAAATTTCTGAATGCATTTTCAAAATTATATATTTATGAGCTATTTTAAAGATCTCTCGTTTACTAAATTATTTTTGTGCATATGTTTGTACATTTTTAAACTCATCTATTTATTAGCATATTCCATCTAATTATGAATATATTTCAAAGATAAAGTCTTTATTTGCTTACATCTATGAACTAGACCTCTCTTTATCTCAGCAGGCGCAGCATGATTCGGGTGGTGAAGAGGAGCCAGTTGTCCCCGTGAAGCCGTCACCCAAACCCCGCCGGGCCAAAATTCTGACCAGGGGCCGCAAGCTTGGCAACAGGAAGCGCGGGCGACCCAAGAAGGCACCAGCTGCAACTGCAGCCGAGCGCAAGAACAAGAAGAGCCAGAGCGCCCTCGACCTGCTGCACGCCAAGACCCTCTCAGCGGCCCCTGCTCAGGGTGAGACCCTCTATTGTTATATTGTGTAATTATATGATTATGATATGCTTGATAACCTTTAACTTCTCACTTTAACTTCTCATATAAATCATATATTGAGTTTTTGTTGAAGAAAAAAATTGTGAGTTTTTTTTTTTTTTTTTTTAAAGGCCATATTGCCCAGCCCTATGCTAAGTTTAGCTAATAGTGCTCCTGCAGACCCAGAGATCAACTGAATGGATACACAAATGCTAAAACTCCGCAGTTTAACTCTTGAGGGCTTGTTAAATGTACCTGTTTTTCTTAAAATATTAAAAAGTGGAGTGTTTCTTTAAATAAATAATTTCTGTTGCTCAATGTGATTTACAAATACAACCTTTGACGTTTGTGGTCTGTCTCAATCCACAGAACCATACCGGTCACCTCAGAGTCCGTTCTATCAGCTACCTCCCAAAGTGCAGCATTACACATCCAGCCAGCTCCTCATGGCTCCCACTCCACCTGGCCTGCAGACGCTACTGGGTGAGTTCACTGGATAGTAAAAAAAATGAAGCTGCTAGTTTCTTACTTCTGTTGAACACAAAAGATGATGTTGGAAGTTCAGCATCATTGACTTCTATAATATTTTTTTTCTACTCTGTAAGAAAATGACTACCAGTTTCCAGCATGTTTCAAACTGTCTTTTGTGTTCAATAGAAAAATGAGATGTAATCAGCTGAGACTAAATGAGTAAATTTGAGTAAAGTTTTTCTTGGTTAAACTGAACGCCAGCAGCTCTGTTTCATAAGTCTATCTGTTCTAGTTATATTTTTGATCAGTCAGTACATATAAAGTGTGTCACTTGTGCTGTAGATAACATCAAAGTCCAGTACCTGCACTTCATGGCCTACATGAAGACGCCACAGTACCGCACCAACCTGCAGCAATCGCTTGAGCAGGAGAAGGTAAAGCTGTCTCTTCTTTGTGTGTTGATATTCGTTAAAATCTAATAAAGTTAATAACACCATTAAAAATTAATAGTGTTATTGTTATTGTTAATGCCATAACAATATTATATAACTTTCGTTTAGTTGTGAATCGTATAATTTAAATACATTTTATATATATTGAAATATTTTTGTCATTTATTTGTGCGTTTTAGTTTGGAATGGAATGTTTATTCCAATAATATAATGTGGCGATTTCTTTTTTTTTATTTTATTTATTTTTTTTTGAATATTTAATTATTTGTAAATCTAAAAATTGTAATAATACATTGTAAACTTTTCTATGTAATGATCTTTTTTTTAGCAGAATTGCTTTTTTTATTAAGTATATGTGTTTTTTTTTTGTTTTTGTTTTTTTTATACAGGCACAAATATTTGTTCATATACATTAGTTTAGACAGTACTGAAGCCAAAACTGGAACTAATCTAACAAGAAAACTTACAATAATGGTAAAAAAATGAGTACGTTTGAATTAATATGACAGGGAAAATTATTAATGAGTTTGCAAAAGGGGAAAAATCAAGAGAAACAGAAAATATACAAAATCTATTTAAAAATGTATAATTTTTTGTAAAAAAAAAAAAAAATTTATATTAATTTGAATTGAATTTAAATGCATTATCTTTCTATTTTTAAAAATGTTTAGTGACTAATGGCCTGTTTCTACCGAGTGTACAGTATGGTTCGTTGAGCTTTTATAGTTGTTTCCACTGTCAAAATGTACCAAAAAGCAAATTGTACCATACAACTTTTAGGGTACCCTTCGCAAAGGGTACCTAGCACAACAAAAGTGGAGCTAGATGCACAGCTGATTGCTATTGGTTTACATAGAAATGTTAGTAGAGCTTGCACAAGCAGGAGAATTAAACAAAGGAAGCGTCGTTTTTAAAAACACAGCTGAGACATTACACAATAATAATATATACATTTAATAGTGAGTGAGCTCAAACAAACCTTGTCGTCTTAATGATGAGCCACAAAGCCAAGAAGAAGCGCAGAATCTACCCTGTACTCTGTTGTTGTTTACAAGGGGGTCTACAAGCACAACCGATCACTCACCGCACGCCTGTATTTGAAATAACAAACTTTTTGAGCTTATGATAATAACATGCGCGTGATTATTGAAGTGCTTCTAACAACCGATCCTTGGACAAAGGACGAACTCGTGAGTGCTGTGTGAAAAAAAACTAAGGAGAAGCCCGAAATAACAAAGGAGCAAATGATTCTTTCAGCAACCTAAAACATGAACAAACTGCCATGTTTACCCATTATCATCACCTTTTGGACTATAATGAACTCGAAATGAAGAAATTACTTTCTAACAAGATGCTAACGTTAAGATTAAAGATGCAGATGAGAGGTTTGCACTGATTGTATATTTTATGTTGTTTATGAATGCAGATAAGGACTAAATGTATGTTGTGTAGTTTTTCTGTAATTGGTAACATATCAAAGACAGTAAAGGCTGGTTTATACTTGACATATTCGCTTGAGTGCGCATGGCGACTGTGTCATTGCGTGTTTGGGAAGGTTTGCTTTGGGTGTGCGCGACAAGATTTCGGCTGGTGGAGCGCATTAAATTTTGAGCGAACAGTTGATTTGAGTTGAATATGAAACACTTTGAAGAGATTCTGTCTGAAACAGTTACGCCTGTACAGGCATATTTATGATCCGCCCATGCCTGATCATAGGGTGAACCAGATGACCAATAATTCTTGGCTATACTATAATTAGGGAACAAATTATTTCATTGACAACTAGAAAAGAGTATTTGAACCAATCACTTTACAATATACTGTATCAGTTTACAATATACTGTATCAGTTTACAATATACTGGTACCCCTAATTTTATGCTTTGTAGCACTGCCACAAATTGAGTGTTTTATAAACATAGTGTACCATAGAAAAGGGATTTACCCGTGTTGTTTTAAAACTCCCATATGTCTTGCCCTCTTGTAATGTGTTCCCTGCTTACCTGTTACGAGCGACATTACGTATGGGCAATTCTCCATTTGTCATTCATCACTGGATAATGCTTCACGAGATGATAGGTTGAGAGAGGATTCATGGCGGAAGTTTTGCTCCATGTAAAGAGGGATGTAAGAAGTTTAAGAGATCGCGATCGTGAAAAAAAGACTGCTGATTTCGCCTGTGGGTTGTTTATTGGACTTTCTCACACACACACAATTGGACACAAAAACAAACGCATGCACACACAGTTAGACCTTTGCCGAAGACAGTCATGTTGTTTTCTTTTGTAAATATTGAGTATGTATGCATGGTGGTTAATACTGTAGGAATCATTGTAAGTCTAACATACTGATTGGTGTTAATTCATCTGTTTCAGTTTGCTTTCTGTTTGTTATATATATCTGTTTGTTATATTAGTTGCTTCATTTAAGGTTGAACAATACAGCTTTAATTAAGATAATGGTCAGAAATTATACCATTATTGTCTTTTTAGCATATTAATAAAGGACACAAACTAGCCAGAAAATAATGTGTGAATTGTGGAGTGGGCTAAATAAAAAAGCATCAGTATTTTTAGAAGTGTACTTTTTTTTGCTTTTATTCTTTCCATAATAAAAGATATTTGTCAAGCAACCCTTGTTCTGTTGCCATTAATATTTTAATAAACTATAATGGGTAGAAGGGTTTGAGATATGAACAAAAGCAAGTGATTCATCAAATTTTTAATAAAACATTTTTTTTATTGGCTATAAAAAAAAATTTATAGTTATAAAAATAATTTGTTTAAAAATCTTGATTGAAAATAATGAAGTAGTAAATATTAATATGACAGACTTCCCAGTTCTGTTTATCTGTCTGATTTTACGGTTGGTTTCTTTTGACCATCCCCTGTAGTTTTAAAGAATTTCTCAATGCGCCAAGTGTAAAAGCCTTGTCTGTTTCGTGAGGTGCGCACACAGTCAGCGGAGGTCTGCAACGTGGTGCCAGACCAAAGTATAAATCAGCCTTCAGGGTCTTTAGGTGTTGTTATATGTTGCATTTATTTATTTGACATAATTGCAGATGTTACCGTATGCTATTTCACACCGTCATTGATCTGCAGTTATAATCAAATCATGTTCATAGAAAGGTTAGTAATGAACATTTAAACAAGTATCTGTGTATAAAGCATCTGTTTTGTGAGAAATGCTTTGCATATGATATGTAAACGACCCGTACAGCTTTACTTTGACATTTCCTCGAGCGAGAATGACTTCGACATCAATTTTTTGTCATACACTACCCACCAATAGAGTACCATTGATACCTATAGGCATTAGACACATTGTGTGTGTGTGTGTGTATTTATATATATATATATATATATATATATATATATATATATATATATATATATATATATATATATATATATATATATATATATATAACATTTTCTTCCTAATTGTAATCTAAACAAATATCTGGACTTCAGTTGTACATTACGGTGTTGTTTAATTCTCGACACTATTCAACAGCTGAGACACACAGAACTGTCAAGTCAAGCCCAGCAGCTGGTCAACGCTTGTCATGCTCACAAGGAGAGGATTCATGACCTTTTCCAGTCCAAACTAGAAGAGGTAAGACTCTTTTTTTTTTTTCACAGCCTATAGTTCTGTCTGTCTAGTCAACAATTGTTGGCAGTGCTATGATCTGAAGTGAAGTCCTGCCGCTCCTCTCTCAGCTGGGTGTGAAGGCGGTGACGGTGGAGGATCTGGTTCAGGCTCAGAAGGAGATTACAGCCCACAACATGCAGCTGCGCGAACAGACCAAACAGCTGGAGCATGACATGGCCGAGCTCCGAGATCAGAGCCAGCTGCTGGTGAGACCACCGTTCATCAGTCATGCCTTTAGTGTTGCAGAAATGCACTCGATATTACTTTCTTTACTGAAAGGTTTGAAATTGATCTGGTCTGATGTGTTTGTCAGCTGAAGGCTCGCTGTGAGGAGCTCAAGCTGGACACTCTGTGTTGGGACACTCTGAAGAAAGAGATAGAAGCTCTGCGGAGACAGATCTCTGAGAAACAGCGCCACTGTCTGGAGCTCCAGGTACCTACATTCATATATATTTAGTCAGGGGTGTCCAAACTTAATCTTGGAGGGTCGGTGTCATGCAAAATTTAGTTCCAACCCCAATCAGACACACCTGTGCTAGCTAATCAAGCTTTCACTAGGCTTTCTAGAAGCATCCTTGCAGGTGTGTTGAAGCAAGTTGGAGCTGAAATCTGCAGGACACCGGCCTTCCAGCACTAAGTTTGAACACCCCTGAATTAAGTGATCATTAATATCTATTTTATGTGTATATTTATGTCAAATTGAGATGCATTTTCATATTTAATTTTACAATGTTGCTTTACAAACTGTATTGTGCGTAAATCATATAAACATTTGCATATAGTTGAGTAATATTACTGAAATTAAAATAAAAACTGAATATATTTACACACATTAACCCTTGTGAACTGTTTGTTGGTGGCTGTTTGTGCCCCATTGACTTCGGTTATAATGACGGTTTTGATTGCAAAGCTATGACACCAAATAATCATGCATTCTTGACTGTTGGCGTTTTTGCCTGTTAGGGAGAGGTCAAACTTTTTGTTTTTATTGTTGATCATGAGTTTGCAGCATTAACCCTTTGGATAGGCCTAAAGGGTACAGCAGATTATAGTGTCCGTGCCTAAATACACTTACTATGTTCACTCACCTGCTTATTTTTTATTTTCTCAAACATATTAAGGTAAGTGCTTAAAGGTCTCTCTCACAATTGCACATAGCCACACACACTATACTTTATATAACCATATCATTTTTATCCAGAAACTAAGCTTTATTTGTGGACTGCAAGTGATGATCATGAATAAATATTGGTAACTTTACCTCTTCCCAACACGGAAAACCAGCATCAGTCAAGAATGCGCGATTATATGGTGTCAGATTTGCAATAAAAAAAATGTCCTCATTATGGAAGTCAAAGGAGCAAAAACAGACACCAACATAACAAAAGGGAAGTCAATTTATCCAGAGTGTATTGATATATATTTTTTTAAACTTTCAAAGCATTTTTCCAAAATATGTTTCAAAGTAAGATTTGTCACCAAAAATCATTCTGTTTGCTGAAACACAGAGAAAGTTGTGGTCAAATAAGGCTCAAAATCACCCCAGAGTGGATGAAAACATCCACAACAGCACACAACGCCCCATTCACACGGGGCATCAGCGCTTACCATTCACTGAATTGTGGGTCTGTCTGCGCTGCTTCAGTGGCGTTGCTCGCTGCTGAAGTTGGGGGTTTCTCAACTTTTCAAGCGCCAAAGGAAGCGTCAGCCAGTCAGATCACTTTATGCATATAATCTAGCTCAGACATTGGCCGATTAGGGACTTATTTCATTGGCTGATGCTGATATGACGATCACGTAAGCCCTCAGACATGCCCTCATTCAAGTGTTGACGCTCAAGCCCTGTGTAAATGCACGGTAAAGGTTAAAATAAGTAAATAAATAGGTTTAATGTTAAATAACCAGCAGAAATCTGCAGCCCACATTTAAATGACCAAGCACTTCATTATAAATCTTTTTTTTTTTTGGTTCAGTAATTACTGTTTTCAGATCTGTTAATACTTTAAAATAAATTTTTTTTTTTCTTAACTTTAAGGCCCAATCCCAATTCTACCTCTTAGCTCTTTCCCTTACCCATTGTCCCAATTCTCTTTAGCTTGAAGGCGTAGGACTAAAGGGAAGGAGTTGATAGCCCTTCGAAACGAGATTTTCCAGGACCACACACGAAACCGAGGTGTAAGAAATTTTCCCAGAATAAACCAGCCACAATGGCAGAATAGCTGCACCCGGAAGTAAGATCCACAAAAGAGTATTTTTTTGTTATTGTTACGAATTTTTACAATAAACAAGCACATGTTTTAATATATTCACACGTTAAAAAAAAACGCTAAAATAAAAACCGATAAATTTCGCTATGTATAATCCATAATAAAAACTCATTAGGTTTTATTCTCATTAGTCAACATTTTGACACTGAAATACCCTGTCAGAAAGGTTTAGTGACTGGGAATGGGCTTTTTACAGTGTCTATTATAATGTTAATGTTGTTTTTGTGCATTTACAAAGATTAATATGGCCACTGTGTAAATGCACAGTACAGTTACGATTTTATTGCTACGTCATGATAACATATGTCTTCAGTGATTTCTTGATAAAAGATAAGATAAAGATAAGAAGATAAAAACCCAAAAATAACACAACTGGAATAACTACAGCAATCACCATCGTCAATCTTATCTGAAGCAAGAGATCGTGATGACATATGATGATGTGTGCAGGTGCTGTAGTGCTGTCCTATTTCTTTGGGGTACATTTTGAAGCTCTTTCTCTTCATTCTCTGTTTTAAGGGACATGGGGAAGGGGGAAGGGTACAAAATAGAATTGGGATTGGGCCAAAGTAGATTACAGATGTTATTTGAGTCGGTTGCCTTAAAGGTGCCTTTATACTGCATTGGTTTATTAAGATAAATTGTTCTCTGATATCTTCATAGCAGGTTTATGGCTTCCTCAGAAATGGTTTAATAAGTTCCTTCATAACTCCATTATTACTCCAGTATTAGGTCGATGATTGACCATATATGGATTATGTCATGAATATTAATGAGCTCCGCTCTGATGTGTGCAGCTCTTAGACACACACACAGCAAGGACAAATTTAAACCAAATCAGAGTAACTGTAACCTATTTTGCTCACCAGATCTGTTGTGGATAAAGGCTAAATTATAATTAAACTTGACAAAAAGGAGTGGTCAAGATGTATGGCATTGTATATTGAAGCTAAATTATGAAAAAAGCAGCCAGGACTTAGTATCAGCTCCTGCATAAACATATAATGGTTGAGCTGAGTGATTTGACACGATTCAGCAGTCTACATGTGTTTGTTGAAACACACTTTAAATTTCACGGTAAACATGAAAAATTTAAAAAGATATAGCTAAACATACCCTTTGCCTCTTGGGAGAAGAGATGAATAAATGTATAATCTGTAAATCCTGCATTTTGCATTCTGAAGTGATTTTGAGCGTGCCTTATGTAACGCACTGTAAACAATTTGGAGCTTGCGTTTTTAAAAATAAAAGTTCAACATGATGAATAACCTAAAGTAGGCATACATGCAAATGAGCAGGGCATGGCCTGTGTGTCTGGTCACAGTTTGTTTTGTCTTCTGATTGGCCCGTTGTCCTCTGGGGTTAACACTAATGGAATTTACATGAGAACTTGGAAAGGTTTCTGAGTCTTATATTATGGCCATTTCCATATCTTGATCCTTTATTATTCTATGCCTTGGTGTACACAAATTTTCATTTTAATTTACCTTTAATAGTTTAATTTTTAATCCAAATATGTTGGTTTTAAGTTGGTATACGCACACATGAAATCAAGATTCAAAGTTAAATTTATTTGTTATAGATTTATTAATACGCAAGTATACGTTATAGCTGTTTTTTCAACATAAAGATTGTCCTTTCTCTTATTTATCATCTATTGTTACTGTTCTAACAAAATCTTGTTTACAGAAACCTGAACTTGCTTCTCTAGAGCTATTTTTATCCTCAGCGCTGTCTGTGTGTTTTCTCTCTCCTCCACTGAATCATTGGCTCCCCCTGCTGTTTGTTTCCAGATCAGTATAGTTGAACTCGAGAAGAGCCAGCGACAGCAGGAGCTCCTTCAGCTCAAGTCATCCTACAGCCCTTGTGAAGTGTCCCCCTACAGAAAAGCCCTCCCTGGCCCTGATCCTCGGCCCACACTGGACCCGGATACCCCAAAACTCACCCCGCAATCCTCTATGGGGCTGAACGGCCTCAGTCCTGAACTCTCTATCAACGGCACTGCCTCTCCGGGTTATGAAAGATGCACCGGAAGTGCAATGGGCAAAAACGAACTCCTCACCCACTACCTGCCCATTTCTCCAGACCACGAAATTGTGCCGCCAACCCCGGACTCCAGAACCAGGCAGCTTGGGCAACCCCTGCCCGACTACACCCGCTTTTCTCCAGCAAAGATCGCCCTCCGCAGGCACCTCAACCAGGATTCAGCCGCAAACCAGTTCCGGGCACTCGGAAACATCCATCGGTGAGTGAAAGTTAGCCAATTAGTTGAGTAAGTACTTATCTATTGGTCACTGATCACTCACGGGTGTTTTCAGGGGCGACACTGGTGCCATTTCATCTCCAACACTGGGCTTTAAACAGGCTTCACCATGTTCCTCGGAAGTTCAAGCGGTCACCACAGCCAAGAGCACAGATAGGGTAATAAACGGTGTCTTTATGTGAACTAGAGGTTAAACGGATCAGCAGAAGTCACGGTTGGGATCATGTTTTAGGTTTTGCAGCATGAATTGGGTCTTTTTTTTTTTTTTTTTTTGACTATTAGGCAACGCAAGCAAAGCGCAGATTTTATTTGGGGATATATTGGTAACACTTTAAGATAATGGTCTATTAGCTAATGTACTTTCTATTGTTAACAAACAATGAGTAGTATGTTTATTAGGTTATTTAAATTGAAATAACATTTGTTGATATTAATTCAGTTCTTTAAGGCTGCGTTTACACAGATCTTGATGGTCAATTCTGATTTTTTGACTGTACAATTTATTTATTTATTTTTGACTACCCGTTTACATTTAAACATAACTCCTATTCGATTGACTGCATTTACACTGCACACGTCAAAGACGTAGTGACCAGGAAAAGAAGAGCGGATGCCGACTGACAACTGATACTAAAAGAGTTCTCTTTTCTCCATTCCTGTATTTAATCTGTTCTCTGGGTTTAATATTTTTAATTCATTTTAGCAATTTGTTTTTAGGGTGCTTTCACATCTAGACTTTTGTTTAGGAACCTGGCGTGTTTCGTTTCCTTTAGTATTTTTGAAATAGCAAATCGTGCTCAGATCTGCGGCAAAACAATCGGCCCGAGATTGCCTGAATGAGGTGGTCTCGGCTCTGTTGAAACAAACTCTGGAGCAGATTGATTGTAGTGAGAAAACAAAACGATCCAATGAACTAACAAACCAGGCTATATCACAGCGGATTATGGATGTGTAATGCATATATATGGCTGTATGAAGAGAGAATGATGACTAGGGCGGGATGTCATTCCTCTCTGTAAATGTACGGTTCATGTCGAATAACAAAGTAAACTATTAAGGAGAGCTGTTCATCGTTAGGAAAATTGACTGAACTGCAGACTTCGTTTATCTGTTATCTCTCTATATAATGTAAGGTCTATAATGCATAATTCTAGCCAAAGGCTATGAATGAGAAAGTCTTACCTCTGATTTATATTTGGTGACTATGTCTGTGGGTGGCACCATTCAAAATGAAAGTGCAGCTTTTTGCTCATGTCATATTGCTCATTGTCATAAATTAAAATAAGGATGCATGACAGCTGAGTGGGACTGAAAAATAAACTGTAAAACTCTGACCAATGTGAGGAGAGTTTACTCGCACATGACCTTATTTTGGTTCATTTAGACACATTTCAGTGTGAAAGCAAACCACGCCAAGAACAAAAATAAACATTATAACAATTTTAATCCCTGTTTCGGAACAAAACAAGCAGTCGACAGGTGTAAAAGCACCCTTACTATATTTTATGACAGAAAAGTTCTAATTTGGCCATCTTTTTTAATCTAAGCCTTTTTAAACCAACCTTAATGTCATTTCTAGCGTTATTTATGCACGTGATTCATGCAACATTTTTAGTTTAGCCTATATTGTTTACATGGTGGACATTGCGCTCTCGTTTACATGGTTAAATACATGTGCTGCATGACAATATAAAAGCTTTTTAGTCCTCGTGTGTGAGATTTCAGGATTGAGACTGCTAATGTCTGTTCTGAAATAAAAGCTTCAGTTGACTTCATTCGCTATGGTTTTTAATGACAGGTGTAAATCTGATCTACCTGCTCACTCTGAAGAAACGAGTGCTTAGATTAGATTCATATCGGATTAATTTCCACAAATGAACAAGGCCTCAATCTGATTTGAGTAAATCGGAATCCATGTGATTTATTATTTTTTTCCTGCTTACACGTACATGGGCATTATCCGATCTGTGACCCATTTGACGAATGTCAACAAGCACAACTTTAGATTTTAATAATGTATTAGTTAATGTTGAACTATGATTAATACATGCTGTACAAGTTTAGTTCATACTTAATGTTAGTAAGTACATTTACTAATGGACCATCAATCTAAAGTGTTACCAATTTTAACAATGCTAATAATGAGCTTGATAATGCTTCCTGTCCTTTTAGTTGTAGAAATCGAAACTTTCCTGCTGTAGGACAAAAGCTGAATTACTAGTTTTACTAATAAATAACATTTAAATGTGTCTAAATCATTTTTAAAACAACATTCCTAATAAGACAAAATCTTTAAATTAAAACAAAAAGGTTATACATGTAAAAGTATATAAATTAGCATATTACTGAACTGATATTACAACTGCAGAGGGAACATACTGAATGACATATAGAATATAATGGAATTTTACCAAATGTTTAAAAATGATAACAATAATGAATTCAATTTAAATATTTTTGCCAATCTATATTATGAATAACACCTATTGCATTTTTTAACCTCATCCCAATTTGTGAGGTGTGATCCAGAATGATCAGCCAAGATCCGTTTAACTCCTAATACAAACCCATGAATGGAAAATTTTGAGCATCTCTCTCCCCACTCACAGGCCGATAAAGAAAAGAGCCCGACTGCACCCGGCGACACTATAACCAGTCTACCAATCAGCATCCCTCTCAGCACTGTGCATCCCAGCAAACTTCCTGTCAGCATCCCTCTGGCCAGTGTGGTGCTGCCGAACCGCGTCGAAAGACTGGTAGGGGTCTGTGTGAACGGTAGTGATGATGTGGGCGATTATTGGATACATTTTAGAAATATGCTCTAAGCTGTGTTTTCTTTTGTCAGAGGAGCACTCTTAGTCCGGTATTGAATCCAGCAGGACAGAGCAATGGCAAGCCACCTCTCACGCCTACCTCAGGTACAGGTCTGCCTTGTTTTTTTTATTTTATTTTTTTTATGCGAAGCCTAGCGATAGCACACAGGATCTTTCTCTTTAAATATTGTCCTATGTGGTATGTACTGGACTGAAACCGAAACACTGATTTCAGTACCTCATTTTACGGTCACTTTCATCTACAAAGATCAAATTTGGAGAACATTTCTATAAACACTCGACTTTTTCAATTATTTATTTAATTTTAGAAACAATTTAGTGTTAAAAATTGAAGGATTTCTTTGTGGCTATACCACAGTTTTGAACAAAATTAAGGTGCTTTCACACAAGGGGATGTATTTTGTATTTTTTTTATTTTGTATAAAATAGTAATCAAAATTAGAGATTAGCAATGATTGAAACGTGAGCTAATCTGTACATCACTGCAAAGGGGCTTTCAGTCCAAATTTCTTTAAAAAGTTGAGACACTTAATGCAGAGACAGATCTTTACTCTGTTCAGCACCGAATTGGTAAGCAATTCCAGCTGCAGTGAGAGCAACCTTTTTTTTATAATTGTTTTGTTTTGGTGGTAAGCTGTTTTGCATGCTGTTCATGCAGCATGAGCTCTTCACACTTTAACCACCAACTGTGCCTTGCATTTTTGTCTGAGCCCTCTGATTGCCTGTAGTTGAAAAAAGTCAACTGTGCAGAAAGTTCATGCCTAGCAATGTAAAAAGTAAAGCACATTGCTCTTTTCTAAAGTCAACAAAAATGTTTGGTGTAATTGGCCCATTAATATGAGGGCGTACTTGCACCATGTACAGTTGCCTTGAACCGGGTCAAAGCACGCTTGTCCCCCCTCCTGTCTCCTCCGATGGCCCTCACTCACATTACATTTGGGCCTGGGCACGCTTTTGTCATCGATGATGTGCTTTTCATCAAGCGCTTTCGCTCAGCACAGTGGAGATTTCTTTAGTTTTACCATTTAGTCGTTTAATATGCAGTGACACGCAGTCAAATATTTCTCCGAACAGATCCGCCACTTTTGACGCTCATAAACAATCATAAAGTCCTTGTGCTGCAAGAATTAGGAGGTTTGCTGAAGGTGCAGCTGTCGTGCAGTGAGAGGTTTGCATCTTTAATAAACTACGATAGCTTGCATTCATTGAACAGTAAGATTGATTAATAAATCCATATCAAACAGTCCTTTAAAAATGTCACTTTCAGTTTCGGGCTCGGGCACGTTTTGCACTCACACTACAAGAGTACCTTGCCAAAGCCCAAGTGAATCTTCCAACCGGGCCAGATTCGGCCAAGTGAACTGTGCCTGAGCCCGATTCAGAGCACTTACACTTCTCTAACGATCCTGGAAACGAGCCTGGGCATGGTTTAGATAGCATAGTGCGTATACACCCTGATTGCCTATTGAAATTCTCTGCATTATACTGTCCACTTGTGCTTTTGTGGACAACCAGCCCTATGGGGGGAGCGGGCTTAAAAAAAGTAATATTCTAGAAATCACTAATTAACTAATAACTAACCAACTCCTCTTGCTATGGCTCTAATGCCAGCTTCACTCCAAACACTGAGTCAGCATGGTTAAGTTACATACAAACTCTGTCCAAATGGTTAAATATTGATTCATTGCCACACTCTGCAAATGATGCTGAATGCACAGCGCATTTGCTGTCAGAGCACAGAATTCAGTTCTTTTGATTTACAGATTTGTTTCAGGTGAAAAGTGATGAAAAATCTAAAAGCTTTTTTTCATTTAATCATTTTAAAAAATATTCTAAGTGTTTTTTTTTTTTTTTTTGTGAGTCAGAATTTATGTAACTAATGAGCTGTTTTTCCCTTAAGATACTTTGAAATAGTGGCCTTAAAATTTAGGTACTGTAGATCAGGGGTGCCCAAGCTCTGTCCTAGAGGGCCGCAAATCAACCAGCTAATCAAGCTATTTCTAGGTATTCTAGAAACTTCCAGGCAGGTGTGTTGAAGGAAATTGGAGCTAAACTCAGCAAGACCCAAGGTCCAAGTTTGATTCTCTAATTTTGATCACTCCAGTTTATCTAAATGAGAGTTTATTTCCTCAGGGTACTCCTCCAGCTCAGGATTGGTTAATGGGTCTCACTCCACCATGCTGACCGAGGACCAAGACTGTGATGTTGCCTCCCCTCCTCCTCACAGCACTCCCGTCATGGGTCTTCAGCCCCGCGGCTCTGGCCTCAGTCCTCCACTGGGCACCGGAGGCGTTCTCCAGTACGCCGACGGTCCACCAAGGCTTCCCCCCGAGGATGGCCATGAGCGCCAAGGCCCCGAATCCGACACAGAGCCCTTAGATAGTGAGGCTCGCCGGCGCATTTTTTTCTCTTCATCCTCCTCTTCTTCCTCATCCTCATCCTCCACTGGAGGCTCGAGGCTGCACCATGGGTCTGTAAAGCAGGGTCACCATCATCACAGTAAGCACCATCACCACCACCACCACCATCATCACCATCACTCTCCAAGCTCCCACAGCCAAGAGGGCCGAAAACGAGGAAGACGAAAGCGCAGCTCATCTGGAGCCGTGCCCATGAGTGGATCCCCCAAAAGAAGGGTCTTTCCTGGACTGGGCTGCTCAAGTCATTCCTCTGGATCACCGCTTAATATCAATTCAATGGTGAGTGGATTCAAAGTTTTGATTATTAATAGGACTTCACGATTAATTAAAGGCATTTTCATGTGCATCTTTGCATTAAAACCGGCTCTGATATCAGCTGTGAATCTCTAGAAGTTGCTTTCAGATGGAGCAGAATTTACTACACGGAGCCAACGTTCACTGACAAGATACGCAAAAAAATTGTGAACCATATAGTTGGCGTGATCCTGAAATCGAAGATAATCATTCTACAATTTAAAAGCTGTTTTGCATTGCTTCTCAGTGAGCTATGGATGTGTTTCTGCAAAAAGCACTTGAAAATACCACATTAGCATGTTTTTAATTCAAACTCTTCTCATAATTTTGTAAAGTGTCTGAAATAAAACCTTCTCAGAGAATGTTCCAGAGTCATGTGCTTGTTAGTCACATTGACTCAATAAAAGCAGTCCTCTTCTTTGGTTGATTTGCCGTGTCTGTTCTTTGTGGTGTATTTGAGTTTGGCCTTTGGAGGATATTTTCTACTGATCACAGAGCCATGCTTTCCTGACGAGATGTCCATGAGAATCTAAGATTTTGAAATTGTTTTAATTAACCGTGCTGATCTAATTATCAGTGCTACATATGATTTTTTGACTAGGTAAACAACATAAACCAGCCTTTGGAGATCTCCGCCATTTCTTCCCCAGAGCAGTCAGGCAGAAGCCCATGTGAGCAAGATCTGGATCAGCCACCTGTTTTGAAACGAGAGCGTCCTCTTGAGCTCAACAACACCGGCCGTTATTCCTCTGCCCCAAGTTCAGATGAAGAAGGCAATGGTTACGCCCCGGACACCTCTAGTTCAAGCCGGTAATTGCTTTTTTCTGACATATTCAGTTTATTGATCCCTAAACAACAACACTTTAATTAAGGGGGGGTGTTCAGACTGTACTGACACCTTTATAATCTTGAAAGGACACATTTGGTCTGTGTGGGTCCTAATGCCCCAGTATAGTGAAGGGGGCGCTATACTGTCAGTGAGCGTTGTCTTTCGGATGAGATGTTAAACCGTGGTCCTGACTCTTTGTGGTCATTAAAAATCCCATGGCACTTCTCGTAAAGAGTGTAGGGGTGTAGCCCCGGTGTCCTGGCCAAATACCCTCCATCGGCCCTTACCGATCATGGCCCCCCAATCATCCCCATCCACCGAATTGGCTCTATCAGTGTCTCTCCACTTCACCAATAGGTAGTGTGTGGTGAACGCACTGGCGCCATTGTCCTGTGGCTGCCGTCGCATCATCCAATGGATACTGCACACTGGTGGTGGTGTGGATAGACCACCCTCATGATTACGAAGTGCTTTGGGTGTATGGCCATACACGATAAATGCAATATATAAAAACACATTACATAACATAGTTGCTGGCTTTTTCATTATCTCGCTTTCTGTTCGCTCAAAAGCCACGTATTTTCAGTGTGTTCATTGTGATGTAGAGCATGACAAATTAAAAGGGAAAGGTCTTAAAGTATGATCACAAGTTGTCAGATGAGACTTATTTATGATCATGTTGAAACCAAGCATAGCAGAGGTGTTAAACAGGAATCAGAAACAGCCGAATACAGAGGTGGCAGGCCAAATGGCAGAGGTCACAACTGCCATAGGAAGATTTTACTTCCGTTTGTCTATGTTTACCTCAGTCAGCGCAACTAACTCAAAGCAATGTGGTCAAGCAAAACATCTTTTACTCTGTATATAATCAAAAAGGTAAACTTGACTGACTTTAAAAGGAAACTTTTTTGAAAATAGGCTCATTTAACCTTTCTCCTAGAGTTGAGTTTTACCATTTTTGAGTCCATTTAGCTGATTTTCCATGTTTGGCTGGAGCACTTTTAGCTTAGCATAAATCACTGAATCCGATTAGACCATTAGCATCCCATTCAAAAATCTTTTTATGACTTAATTTTCCCCTGTTCTCCTAGAGCAGTTGAGTGTTACCATTTTTGAGTCCATTTAGCCGATCTCTGAGTTTGGCTGGAGCACTTTTAGCTTAGCATAGCATAAATCATTGAATCTGATTGAACTGTTAGCATCTCACTGAAAAATGTTTTGACTTTTAATTTTTATTTTTTCTGGTCTCCTAGAGTTGAACAGTTTAGTTTTACCTTTTTTGAGTCCATTTAAGCTGATCTCTGGGTTTGACTGGAGCATATTTAGCTTAGCATAGCATAAATCATTGAATCAGATTAGACCAGGGGTGTCCAAACTCGGCCCTGGAGGGCCGGTGTCCTGCATATTTTAGTTCCAACCTCAATTAAAAACACCTGAACCAGCTAATCAAGCTCTTGTTAGGTATACTATAAACTTCCAGCCCGGTGTGTTGAAGAAAGTTGGAGCTAAACCTGTGGGAGAGTTGCAAAATTGGCCTATTTTCCAAAAAGGTTGAGGTTCTTGGTGTGACCTGGCATCAAATCTATTGTTTTCTCCTTCAGAATTGAACGAAAAATTGCTACTATTTCCTTAGACCGAGATGGACCAGTTAGAGACTTGGAAAGAGGCAAGTGGCATGGTTTTTGTCTTTTGATTCAGTGTTTACATTGGCATTTTGACACAACTGGCTATACGTCAACGATCATGTTGCTTTGCAGGTTTACAGGGACGTAAATCAGGTGCCAGCAGCGTGAGCAGCGAGGTATCCTCTTCCTCCGGAACCAGCAAGTGGAAATCCACCTTCTCCCCCATTTCTGATCCCAAGCCAACTCCTCCAGACATCCGCCAAGGTGGCTCACCATTTAGCGTTGGAGCTTCCCGAGGAGGCACAGACTCAGACTCGGACCACAAACCCCAGAGGAGAGGGGAGCGTGAGCGTGAGCCTTATGGAAATTCAAATCTCTTCCTCAGTCAGGATGGCAGTGGTCGCTCGGCGGTAAACACGTCAGAGCGTTCGCTGCAGAAACAGAAAGTGCGGGAGTGGGACCTGAAATCTGTAAGTGGATTGGCCAGTCAAAACCTATTTATATCTGCAGCAGCCAGTGGAGGCATCCTGAGTGGGAAAGTGGGCGGGGCTGCCACTGTGTCATCCGCCTCTGCGGTAGGGCAATATTTCCCACTGGGCGGAGCTTCTGTTCTACAACCCTTATTTGGAACTCAGGCAGCGGGACCAGCCACCAGCGGAGCCCCCCGATTGGTCAACGGACATTCGGCGCTTGGCAGTTTCTCCAGTGCCGGACTGGCAGGGGGCGCTGCAGGAGGTGAGTTAGACATCTTGTCTGTCTTTCTGTTTTTTGATAAATGTTAAGGATTGAGCCTAAGGTCAGAACAGTCGCTCAGGGTGTAGAGAAAAGGTAAGTAAAGGCCCAGCGCTGCCATTTTGCCTGGCTCTCCCACACTGCTTGCTGTGCTGACTGCAAAGGCTAAAGCGACACACCTAGAGGAAATGATAACAGGTTATATTTAATAATAAGTTCATCAAAACATTAAAAAGTTGTTGTCATTTAATCATCCATTGATTTTGTTCCAAACAGTTGAACACAAATGAAGATATTTTGGTGAATGTACCTGGTTGCCATTGACTTGAATATCTGACTGGCGACCAGTTTACAACATTCTTTGAAATATCTTCCTGTGCATTTAACAGGAGAGAGAAACGCAAATGTTTGGAATAAATGAAGGACGATTAAACTAGTAATTAAATTTTTTGAACTAACTCTTCTCGGTCAATTTCATTAAATCATGAGCAGCATCTATTTAAGTCAAACATTTTAACAAAGCAGTAATTTATTGGCAATATTTATCTAATTTTGCTTTGAAATTGAACTCAGACATGCTGTAAACATGCATTGAGGAAGCCCTCCCCCACACATTTTGTTTTTTGTTAGAAATCGTACCAAATTACAGCCTTGTAGATCATTTTCTTTGGCCTTGATGGTGTAAACTGGTGATTTAGAGGCCAGGGAAAGTATTAATATTTGTCGAGCTCTGTATAGTTTATCAGATTGGCGGGAAACGCCTTGACTCCTCCAGCTGCCTTCATATTTTCCTCTTGGTGTTCGCCTTTAATTGCAGACCTTGGCAGTGTCGAGGCACTTCACTGTTTACCAGCATTTTGCCAATCATGAAGATGTGTATTTAAAAAGCTTACTTTTAAAATAAAGTTAAGGTTACTCACGCTTGTCATTTTAAACCCATAAGAAATGTTGTCATCTGTGTAGCACAAGTGAAAATATTCTTCATTCTTAAATAAGGCTGGGCAATTTGGCCTACAATCAAAATATTATATTATTTTATTTATTTGTTTTCTGTTTTTGCGGATTATAGTTCACTGACAAGTTTTGTACTGTAAATAAGCTCATGTTACAAGTGAGAGATTTTTGAATGAAGGGTGCATTAACTGATTTTAAAATAATTGAAGTAAACACACACTCTCTACGATCTATGATTATTTGTTAAACATCATTGTTGAACAACTGAAATTGTCTAAAATGCAGCTCTCTGTTCCACCCACCGTCATCACAGACACCAAACCAACCATCCACAAAGCTTGTACTACGCATAATTGTGATGTGTAAGTTCATATGAGTGTATGCGAAGGCTACACCAGACTGTACACGTACCCTTGGCAGAAGGATAATATCATTATAATATAACAAGTATAAATCATAATATAACAAGTCTAATTCAGCCTTAACAGAGCAGGGTCACGTGACTCCACGCACGGTAGGGAAAGTAATTGAAAAATGAGATCGATTATAGGTTCTGAATGTCAATTTCGATTACTTCTCTATTAATCACCCAGCCCTATTCTTAAATGTGAGCCCCTGTTTTTTTGTTTTTGTTTTTTTTTACCTGGTAATACCAAGTTTTCAATGATTTAAACACTTATTCGAAACACATTATTGTTTATTTATATATAAACATGCGTCATATCCACCTGCCGTTAATTTACTCTCCTTCTCTTCGTCTGCTTCTGCCACTGAACAGTAGCTCCCAGTAAATATTCTGTGTCCTTTGAAGATGCAATATGGAGCATGTACAAACTGACATTAAAGGTGCTGTATGTACGTTTTTAACCATTCTAAAGCATAAAAATACCATATCATGTCTGCAGATATTTAAGAATAATGCCAAGTAAACTTTCTTGTTTATCTGAAAAACAATGCTGAAGTCAGATAATTTGCTTGTGTTTTCTCTTGCTGAACGACTGTATTTGTTTTGGTTCTTTAACCCGCCCACTGCCACTTTAGCCAATTATATTTTAGCATCCCGGGTTGCCTTGGTGGTAAACTGCTTCATTCATTCATTCAGAAAGGCTCTCAAAGCAGGTGTTCGTGACCGAAATGTGACCGCATGAGTTCCACATGAGGTTATTAATTAGCAAATGAGATAAATATTAGGAACGTAAACATTAGGTGAGCAGGATACATTGTAACCGCGTGTCCTAACAACACGCCACGTGAAGAGATTTAAAGTAATAAGCAATTGGGCTGTTTGCACCAGATGAAACACGACAGAAATTTAGATACAGCTATTCAGAAGCACAGAATAGTGCACTCACTCACTCACGAAATGGTAAGGTTTATAATCTAATTAATACATATTAAACCTCTTTAACATTATTCAATGTAGATGCTGAATCACTGATATGTGTTTAATTCAAAAGTTTCAAAAGTCTAATTTTAAAGTGTCTGTTTTATTCTCAAGATCTGAAGTGAACTGATCTGCTGCTGCTTTCAGTACTATGGCAATAAATCTCATGTAAAATGTCATGCAAACTCACATTGTTAGCATTTAACGCTGAATAAAACACATTAAGGGAACCTGAGGTGATCATTGTCAGTTTATCCTGTTGTTCCCCTGTGAGAAATAGAAGCCGTTTCTAATATAACAATTGGAGTTGTTGATTTAAAAAAAACCCCTCCTTTTAATATGTAAAATATTCCTTCTATCGGGTGCCGTTGCTTTAATATAGTCCTGTCCTCAATCTGGCAATCTGCGCTTGCATTTATTTTGATCCAGGAGTGCAATACCTAGTTCAACCACTAGGTAAAACTTGCATGATGCACCTTTAATTTTTAATAAAGCTGTCAAAACAGACAGCATCTGTTATCCACCAGTCAGTACTGCAACTGCAATTTACACTGCAACACAGAAACAACGTTTTCAAATTTATCCACTTCGGACGTTTTTAAAAACATACATTTTTTTCCCTAAAAATGTTGTCTCAGTTTGAATGGAAGGTCAAAACCTAGAGAAAAATATGCGTTTTTAAACGAAAACATTGTAGTGTGGACATGACCTGAGTGATGACACCAACAAGAGCAAGCATGCCTGACAATAGAGTCTTATTGTAAGCTGCACAGCTAATGTTTTAAATTTGTGATATTTATACTGTTTGCTAATTGAAACCACCTCCTTTAGTTTTTTATTATATTTGTGTGTCTCATTTTGGAGGCTGCGACTGTCCAGCGAAGGTCAATTTTTCAGCTGCTGTCGCATGTATTAAGGAAGACTTCATGACTGAAATTAGGTAAACCAGCAGTGGGCAGTAGAGATGTGCGGATGGCGGTTACAGCCGCGGAATCCGCGGATAAACCGCGGATCGGGCGGATGACGTGACGAAAAATAATATTTGAATTAAATTCGGGCGGGTGGTGGGCTGTTGTACTGTTTTTGTACACATAGCTGGCGCACCAACGAAAAAGACTAGGACTGACTTAACAGAATGAGAGGAGGAATCGGATACACTAATTCTGGATGAAGTACAGAAGTCTTCATCTACAGACTTCCGTATAGACGGATCAGCAGAGGAACATTTACTTTCCTTTTGGGAGAAACAAGGCAGTCATTCCCACGTCTACAGCACCTTGCCAAGAGAATTTTATGCATTCCAGCAACAAGTGCTGTGAGCGAGCGCTCCTTCAGTGCAGCAGGGCGCATTAGAGGCCAGGCACTCTCGTCTGAATGTTGAAATGATGTGTCAAAATGCGTTTTCTATTAGGCTACAATAATAATAAAAGAAAATTGTACAGTACAGTGCGTTTAATTTAGGCTATTTATTTATTTTTGTCCCTGTGCGCCAATTGGAGACGGAGTTCACTGCTGATATTCTGAGAGCTTTATAGGGATGCTTCTCATTTCTTTTTTGTGTATCCTCGTTTCCTTTTCTTGCTTTCTTTCCTCGTCTTTCCACCCCTATAGGATGCGAGGGAAGGACGCAAGGAAAAGACTCAAGGACCGAGGAATCGAATCAAGTGAAAAGACACGTCCTCGTATTGTTTAGCGTCACTTCAAAGCGTCAATTAATGCTGGATTTGACTTGCACGTTTGGATTAACTGCATGTCATTAAAGTCATTCTCTATTTTCTAATAATCAATAAAGAAACATTCATTTAATAATAAAAAGGAACAAGCCATTCAAATAAAAAGCTCAGTCAGCAGATGGCGGGCGGGTGCGGTTTTAAAATTTGGTCAAAAATGTTAGTGCGGATGGATGGCGGACGGATGATGAGTTTTGTGATGCGGTTGCGGATGAAATAATAGCCCATCTGCGCATCTCTAGTGGGCAGGATATAGAGACCAAAACAAAGACATGCAGAAGAAAGCAGAATAACTGACTGTAGCATTGTTTTTTTTAGATAACCAATTATGTTTACTTAGCTTGATTCCTAAACATCACGTAGCTTGTTAGGACAGGGGGTTACAGTGTAATCTGCTCAACTAATGTTTACGTTTGTAATATTTATATTATTTGTTATTTAATAACCAAATGTGAAACTGAATGTGTGTCTCATTTTTGAGTCTGCTAAAGTCCACCATTGGTCGTGTTTCGATTACGGACGCATTCTTTGAGAGCATTTCTGAATGAATGAATGAATGAAATATGCAGTTTTCCATCAAGGCATCCCAGGGTGCTGAAATATAATTGGCTAACTGGAATTGGGTGGGTTAAAAAACCAAAACAAAGACAGCATTCCTGCACGGAAAACACATTTTCAAAGCAGAAAATCTGGCTTCAGCATTGCTTTTCAGATAAAAAAATAATGTTCACTTTACATGTTTCTTAAATATCTGCAAACATATTATGGTATTTTTATGCTTTAGTGGAGTCAAACACAAAATACTTTATTTATTTGATTAAAAAGAGCTTCAATTGTTTTCCAAATTTCTTATGGGTTTAGAAAGGCACTAGGTTAATTGCCACAGTTTTCACTTCAGCATAAACAGTCAACGGTGGTCCCCCTCGTCCACAGTGCAGTGCCTCATTGCTTTACATGTGCTTGTTTGTTTGTTGTCTGGCTTTGCTGCTGTGCACAATCTGGCTGAGCCCCCCATTTTTTTTTCTGTCTCTTGCTCCCCTCTCGGTGCTGTTCGTCTGCAGGGATTTTTCACCACATGGTGTCTTCAAGCTCCTCACAGCAGTCTGGGCCCAATCTCCCAAGCTCCCATAATTCCCAACAGAGGCATCTGGACACGAACCCCAAAGCAGGGGCCTCGTTCTTGGCCTCTGGCCCTAACCGCACTCAAACGGTCCTACACGCACCCTCTCCACCCACGCTCGCTCTTCCCCCGCCCCCACCCCTCCTGAACACTGTCCCGTCCCAACCGTCCTCTCCGCGCTCATCCAGACCGCAGTCGTCCATCCCCGTGGCCACCTCGTCCCAATCCCTGGCTGCCGCGTCCTCTTCCTGCACCTCATCCGCTTCCTCAAGGCCCTTCACTGTCCACTATCCTCCGCATCTGCAGCCTCCGGGCAGCGCTGGTTCAGGTGGGACGGGGGCCTCCTGGAGGACTCTGGCATCCTATACGGCCTCGCAGATTCCTGGGAATCGGCCCAGATAAAATAAAATTTAAAAACCCAGGTGGGAGAGAGGGGTTGACATAGGGGGAAAAAGACTCTAATCGGATACAGGGAAGCTACTGCGTTTGTGCTAGCTTATTTGTTATGAGGCTGAATAAGGTATGTGGTGTTAGCATGGAAACGGGCAACGCTTTGCTGCTTTTGCTTTACATTTTTTGTTTATGTAGCTGCATTTCCTGCACATTTGGAGTTTTTATTACTTGTTTGTTTGTTTTTGTGGTTATTTTCCCTTGAAAAATTGAACTTATGATTGTTTATGTTAGCATTGGCCATTTTGTTTTTGAGTGTGTTATTTTGAAAATGTCATATTACATGTTCAGGGCTCAACAATGGTGGTTTTGATGATGACGATGATGAGCAATGGTTTGTACTTTTACTAGTCCCACAAAAAAAATTATTTTAATGTAGTCGCAATACAGGAAATATAGCTGTAATGTATTTTTGTAAGCGTTTGGAAATTATTTATTTTATTTTTTGAATTTATTCCCCCCACCTTCAAAATGGATAGCTAATTTGCATATTTTATTATTCAATTAAAAAGCTAGGAATGTTAAAATTGTAATGTAGCTGTAAATATTCTTATAATCGTAATGTAGCTGTTTGATATGACTTGTATAAATATTTTTGCTAGATTATTGTACTGATTATTTTATTATATGATTATAAATGATATAAATTAATTACATCAGTAGTTTTTTTATTAAGTGGTTCGTATTTTTCGTATTAATCAATACATGTAGGTGTGAAATGTCACTAATTGGCTCATATTTTTTATTACTATTATTATTAGTTCAAGTTACCTTATTGGTTATTAAAGGAAAAGTTCACATAAAATAAGTTTTGTTATTAATTACTCCCTCTCATAAACTCGTATGACATTCGTTCATCTTAAAAACACAAATGAAGATGTTTTGGAAGAAATCCAGGAGCTCTCTGTTCATAGATTTGAGAATTTCAAAAAGGTACCAAGAATATCGATAAAACAATTTGTATATCTTTTGTGGCTCGACCATAATTTTCTAAAGTTTTTCAAAGACTTTAAACTAAAACAAATATAATAGCTTTAGTCTTCTTTTTAGCATCAGTTCAGGACACAAGTTCACTGTTTAGCCCATGTACTTGGTATATTTTAGTGGTGTAACGGATCACATTATGGTTTTTTAGTCGTGAATCAGACAATTATTATTTTTTGGATCAGCCAAAGAGGGGAGGAGAAACAAATGTCATTTGCTTTCCATTTTTTACAAAAACAGGACTGCAAGACACTTTGGTTTAAACAAACAGAACACGGAACCTGTAATTTTAATACAAATAAAACGAATAAATAATCAGCTGAACAAAAATAAATTGTAAGATATTCAGTACTGTGAAAAATTCACTGTTACTACTACTGTTGCTGATAACACTAAAGGTAGAAATCCAAATTTAAAATCTAAACCACCCATATTTATTTTTAGTCTAATTTTCACTAAATGTTTCAGTTATTCACTCATAAAACTTCATGTTTCATTGTTAGATGTGTCATTTTTGAAGAATTATTTAGTGGCATATCTTTGAGGCTGGTTGTCGCCATCAATTGGTTAAATAGTGTAACTGCTGCCAACAACTTCTGTTTTTGATTGTCAATAAATGCATGATGGTGATTTTAATCTTACCATAAACATCAGTGGTTTCATCTAAACTATAAACTGTTCTCCCAGTACTTCTGTGTTATTTTACTGTTTGTATGTTCATAACTAACTCAAAAGACTCAAAAGATCTCTTTTTTGATTGTTGCGTTTTTCAATCACAGATTTGAATGCTGTGATTTGAAGGATTAATAAACATATGCCAATCTCCATTATATATAATTTATGTTGCGTGGGTGTTGAGATCCCGATCTTTTAATGATTAATTGTGCAGCTTACACTGAATGCATTAATGCAGGTTAAACAAGCAGTGACAGAAAACACCTTTAATAACCTAAGAAACCCACCAAATGCCGAATAACCTACCACAACATCTTCCTTCATCATTTTATTTGATAGGAAAGCCTAAATGCTTTCATACATGTTATTTGAATGAAGCGAGAGTCGATCTCCCTGTGATCGTTACAAATTTTGGATTAATCTACCAATACATTTTTTTTTAAATTAATTTTTGCATTTTGTGTGTTCTGAACTGATCCATTCAAATTACCGATCAACCGTAATCCGTTACACCCCTAGAATCTTTACGGACTTTAAAAGACCAATTTATTGTTTATAGAGCTTTTGGATTTCATCAAAATAAACGTTTAAGGTAAATAAAGGCGAGTAATTAATGATACGATTTTTATTTGTGCGTGAACTAACCCTATAACAATTTATTATGTTCATGAAATGCTACAAAATCTTTCAAATGTTTGTAATGCACACTACTTTAAACATATGTATGAATTAAGTTAACTAAGTTTATATACATACACACATTTAATAATAAAGCAACTGTATTTTTTTACATTTATTAAAACCATTGATGTATGTGTATATATAATCATCAAGTTTCAAACTTTTTTATATATATATTTTTTTGTTGTATGTAATATTTATTAGTATAATTATCTGCAAAATAACGACAAATTGTAATTTTCAGCCCATTTTAAGTGTTTACAAGACAATGCAAACCTTGCAGAATTTGTTACAAAAAAAAAGTTTAAATATTGCAAGCCAAATGTTTAACTTTGCCAGGCATGTGAATTGTTGAGCCCTGATGTTCATGAAATGTCTGTCCACACCTTGTGTAATTCCTGGATTTTACCCCTCGACTGGTTACAGGTAACTGAAGAAATCTACCTCAACCCAACATAACCTATGCAATGGACAGGTGTGGACCAATGGGCTCGACTCGCTCACCGGTGCTCAAACATTTGCTAAAGCCGCCATTGTAAAAACTGGCATGGGTATCTGAATTCATCACAGGTGCAGCTTAACACACACACACACACACACTCACTCATTGCCCCTGAATCACATTCAGATTCTCAGTTTGCAGCTTCCTTTTGTTTCCGAGTGTTTAAAGGTTGCACCATGTTGGGCTGACGCTAACAGTTATTCGTCAGTAATTGTGAGTTTAGCATGATGTTACTGATGCGCGTGCTTAAATTTGAGATGGCAGGAATATCTTTAGTCAGTCCGCTTTCGTTAGGCTGTACGCATAAATAATTTCTATAACCTTGCTGCTGTTTTTGTTGAAGTGGCTTTTATGATTGATATCTTCTGTTTGGATGAAGCTCATGACGATGTTTTAAGATTTAAGTTGTAAAAGGACAGTTCACCCAATCAAAATTGACTTTTTACTTGTCCTCAATTGGTTCCAAATCTTTGAGTTTAACTTTCTGTTGAACCAAAATATTTTTAAGAAATCTGGAAACGATTGACTTTCATATTAGGAAATACTTTGGAAGTCAGTCTTTACAGGTTTTAGCTTTCTTCAGATTATTTTTTGTCTGTGTGTGTTCAACAGAGAAAAGAAACTCAAACAGGTTTGTTGCAAGTGAAGGGTGAGTAAATAATTACAGAATTTTCCATTCAACCCAGCGGTGTCAAACTCAGATCCTGGAGGACCATAGCCCTGCACAGTTTAGTTCCAACCCTGCTTGAAGCCTGAAGGACTCAATTAGTTTGATCAGGTGTGTTTATTTATGGTTGGAACTTAATTGTGCACAGCTGTGGCCTTCCAGGAACTGAGTTTAACCCTTTAAATCTGAGCTTGTGTTCAAGTGTTCAATATTTTGTGAAATACAACGTTAACCACCTTGAATTGGGCATTTAAACATTTGAACTGTTTGTTTAGTGATGTAAAATATCAATGAAAAGTAATGAAAAGACCTCAAGCTCTAGCTAAAAGAGTACATTTCCAAGTGATATTTCACCCCAAAAAGAACATTTGAAGGTATGTCACCAAACTTCAAGATTTCTTTGGTATTGTGAGATTTGTGTGACTCTTTAAAGGATAGTTTTCCTAAAAACTCCTACACACAGGCCATTCAAGAAGGTTTTCTTCATAGTTTTTATGAGATTTTAGGTTTTTTTTAGATAAAAAGTATTTGAAGGAATGAGGGTGAGTAAAATTCAACAATAAATTATAATTTTTTAAGAAATCTTAATTTTTTTTATATGTTTTTCAAAAATCAGAAAGTGGAGATGTATGCAAGAATATTTACTTAAAGGAATAGTCTTTTTTTGGAAAAGTTTCATTTTACAATTCCCCTAGAGTTAAACTGTTTGGTTGAACCATTATTTTAACCCATTTAGACTTTTAGCATAGATCAATGGTCTCAAACTCAATTCCTGGATGATCGTCACTCTGCATAGTTTAGCTCCAACCACCTCCAACTCACATTATTTAATATTCTCTAGTAGTCTTGAACACCTTGATTATATGGATCAGCTCTTTGTGATTAGGGTTGGAGCAAAACGGCGCAGAGCTGCGGCCCTTTAGGAATCCTATGGAAACCTATGGTTTAAATCATTAAATCAGGTTATACCATGTGTCAAACTCAGTTCATGGAGGACCAGCTCAGCATAGCTTAGTTCCAAACCTAATTAAACACACTTAATTAAACTAATTAAGTCCTTCAGGATTGTTTGATACCTACAGGTAAGTGGTTTGAAGCAGGGTTTGAACTAAATTGTGCAGAGCTGCGGCCCTCTAGGAACTGAGTTTGAGTGGGTTAAACCATTAGCACAGGAACGCCCAATCTCGCTCCTCAAGGGCCGGAGTCCTGCATAGTTTAGCACCAACTTCCTTCAACACGCCTGCCTGGAAGTTTCTAGCATACTTTGAGCTTGATTAACTGATTCAGGTGTATTTAATTCCGGTTGGAACTACAATATGTCGGACACCGGCCCTCCAGAACCGAGTTTGGGATCCCTGCATTAGCATCTCTCAAAATATTATTATTATTATTTTTTAAGTTTTTATGAGCAGAGATGCTAATGGTTTAATCCAATTTTGGATCTATGCTAAGCTAAGCCTAAAGTGTTGTATTTAGAGTTGAAGTGGGGGTTAATAATGTAAAATGTTTCCTTTTAGCGTTTAATTATTTATTTCTTTTGTTTTGGGGTGAAATATGACTACCAGCCATGTTCTTTATGGGCTCAGTTGAACCTAGCTTTGTTTTGGTGAACTCGGTCTCAAAATGTAAGATTTTAGAAAACGAATAATCATGAAAGCCCAGACCAAATCTAAATCTCTAATTAAATCATCTGAAAAAGAAACAAATTATTGTCAAATCGTAAATAATAAGATTCCATGAGATTGCGCTGGCTACACCAATAGAGAAATAGTTTGTGTTCGTACACTGGATCATTTACCTGTGGAGCTGTTATTGACACATTATGACAGTGCGTCATTTTTAAAAATGTAAAAGTAGCTTTTATTAGTCAAAGGGAAAAACGCTTCTGTACATTTAAATAGCCACAATTCCCAGGAACACACGAGTAAAACAAATCTGCAGGGAGAGAAGCAGTTGAGCAGATGCCTGTAAGGAGCTGTTTAATCAGGCTAGTCACTTTAACTTCTCGAATCACTACTTTCACCGTTTGGTTTGGATTAGGGCTTTTGTTTTAATACTCAAGCTTCCACGTTCCTAACAGTTCCTGCTGATCCTTTAATACGGTGCACACTTATGGTTCAGACGACGTATTGCGCGGTACAGGCTTATTCAGGGGAATCTGGTGCTCAGCAAATTTTCCTTTGAGAATTCGGTGCGTTTTCCTTTTGGATTTTGAAATCCAAAGTTGATGTGGTGCTCATCGCAAACCTGGAAAACCAGCACACGCTTGTATGTACATACACACACTGGGAATGACAAAACAACAAGAACTACTGGGCAACTCCAACTCATCCTATTGTTTCTCTTTTATTCCTTTGTGATTTTTTTTTGTACTGTGAATGGTAGTCTTTCTGTATAATTGTGTATATAATTTGGGTTATTTATCATTTGAATTTTCTGTTTTGTGCTCTTTGTTTTGTATCGGAGCAGAGCACAACAACGTGCAAAAGTGTATGTACTTGACTCGCAGTCTAAAACTAAAAACATGGTGCTACAATCTGTACAACTTTAGACTGTGCTTATTTATATTAAGATCATCAACAAGAGAGAAAATAAGAGATGAATAAAGATTTTTTTGGTGCTTCTTTTACACAGGGATGTTTTCGAGCCTCACGGCATTTATTTTTCCAATATTTATAATCCTAATATTTGGCGCCCAGCACAAAAGCAGCCCGTGCTTGTTTGGATCAGTGCTGTTTTTATATTGAAGAAACACCTTCTGGTCTTAATCTAGCTCAAAGTACATTGCAGAACTTTATAGGATGATTTGTTTGTTCTGAAGTATTCACGTTAATGGTGCTCCAACCTGTATGACAGGTGTGAATGCTCTTAAGATGTGGCAAATTGGTGCCATGTGTGTGTTTTAATTCAATTTTCGTTTTTATTTCTTGAAAAGAGAAAGTGTGCTAAGCCTGTTTGCCTATCATTTTGGGCCTCGTACGGCTCGGTGCTGTTTCATAGTAAAAAAAATAATATATATTTTGTTTTCTTTACAAATGTAACACAAACTGCTTCATCTTACACAAACTGGTGCTGCAGAATATACTAGTGCGCCCATACCAAAACTTACAATCCACTATCAAAGCCTGTCTACAAGATTGTGTTGTGTAACTTAGAGTTTGAGCCTTTTACGTATTGTGGTGTTGTGAAAATGTTCTGATGTGACCAGTCGTAGAGATGGCTAGCGTTTAGTCAGTTGACTAGCACTAGTGGTTAACCAATATGAGCTTTGACTGAAGAATCAGTAGCGTATCTAAAGAATACACTGATATAATTATATTTGGGCATGTTTCATGCTAAAATGGACATTTTTGTTGTGTTGTTGCAAACCTGAAAGTCTTTATTTCTTCAAAAAAAATTGTTATTAAGGAGGAGTGGAAAACCATGCAATAAAAAAGTCCAAAATTAGACTCCATTGACTTTCGTTAAAACTGTTTTCGACAGACCAAGGGGGGCCAAGTCGGAGCACTCACTACGGTCCCCCAGGCGCTGCTCTGTTTGGGGAAAATCCAAATTGAGCCAAATCAATCTATTAAAATTGGTTTAAGATTGGCAATTGAAATTTGCGACTTTGCAACCTGAACAACCTGGGAAAACATTTTCGACATTTGCCCACCAAATATCAATTGTCGACTTATCAGTGCATGGACTTTGATTCAATTTTCCACATTTATCCCCGAATATCATCGTTTGTGTCTTACAGAGGAATTAAAGTCATACGGCATAGATCTCAGTTCCTGGAGAGCCGAAGCTCCGCACAGTTTTGCTTCACCTTCATTAGTTGGATCAGATGTGTTTGATCTGGGTTGGAGAAAACTGCAGAGCAGCGGCTCTCCTGGAATTGAGTTCCAAACGTATGTCATACAGGTTTGGAGTTTTGAAATTCTCACCTCATTGACTTCTATTATATGGGCAAAAGATTTTGCACATTTGCGCAGATTCCAACATATTGGTCTGTCACTAGCTGCTTAAGCGTTGTCAAAATAGTCAATGGTGTTCATCATCGCCAGCTTGAAGACAAAATAGTTCCGTTTCCTTATTTGCTTTTACCGTTTTTTGTTGCTCAAGGATAAATCCACCTCACCTAAGCTTTAGAATGCCGTTTAATAGAGTATGGTGTGTAATAATATTACAGAACTTTGTGTAAATGCTCTTTCTCTCCGATTAAAATGAGGACGGGGATGATGAAATAGGATATTGAACAGTAAATGAGTTACCAGCACTGAGAGTTTTGTTTTTTTGGGGGGAAATTTTTACTAGTCTCTGTTAATGTTTCCTGTTTTAATGGCCAATTTGTGATTTGATATCTTTGCGACTGTTTATCAATGATGCTTTTTTTCAAGATTTCAAAACCCTAAGGTGCTCTCCTACACTTTAAACAAGGACAATGCAGCTATGGAAGTTCTTGCATTATGAACGGTTAATAAACGTCAGTGCAAGTTTGCTTGTTTTACTTTGAGACGTCTCATTTGAAATCTTTTTTTCCCACCATCATCCCCACACGGTGTGGAAATTAAGCTTATTTAAAAGGATAACAGATGGTCATTTTTTTAATGTTGCGTTTTCTCAGGTACGTGTACGAGGTTGTGAATCGCAAAAGGCATCTGGAGTCCTTCTTGCAAAGTTCTAAAGGGTTATGTTCTGAATATGTCGATTTAAATATGTAAATTCATATAGGCTTTTGTCTAGTGTCTCAGGAACATCCGTTCTGGCTTTGTTCATAGTTTTGCATATGGAAATATGGAAAATATTGTCTGTCTTCCTAGCTGACAGATATAATTTAGAGCCAGTTTGCTTCGCTGCACATTATTGACCTGTGATGGGAGATTCAACTGAACAGCATATACTTAATAATCCAACTCAAAGCCTCCATTTAAGTTCTTGGATGATGTTGTGAATCGTGCATTCCGGTTATCAATATTTCACCGCCTTTTCATTGTTCAGCAGAAATCTCACAGGGTAATTGTGCAACAGCAAACTCTTTAAGAGGTTTGTGTCACTGTTTGGTGCTTTTAACTTAAAAGACTTCTAATGACAGCCTAATTCACTTGATAAGGTTTTAAATCTCGGCTTTTTGTTAACAAAGTTAATAAAGTGTTTCTAATGAAAGCTCAGTTTGATCTGTTTTTATTGCTTGTTTAATAGTGTAATGGGCAAAGATTAATGTCCAGCTGGGAACGGTAATAAATGCCATTTGGCAATAAAAGAACACGGCATGGTTAGAAAGTAATCAGAGTCTGTGATGGTGACTTTTGTTAAAACCACTACACATGAGCATTTGCAATACTTATGTCTTTTTAAACTGGGTTTTTCGGCCCATTTTGACTATAGGTCTGCTAGTAAAGATGATACTTTCTGTTAAGTTCATTGAAATCCAACTTGCAGCAACATCAAGCTCAATGAGTGGGTGCCTTGTTGTTAAAACAACATCAAATAGTGTAAAAAAAAAAAAAGAGCCGATTGAATGACAATTGGCTACTTTGCTGTCAAAATGACATTGAATTGACATCTAACATTGGTTTCAAATGGGCATGAAGTGGTATATTTTTTGACGGTATTATAACCGTGGATAAAACTATCATGGTATTACAGTATTGTGATTACTGCTTTAAATAAATGTCTGGGTAAAAAACTAACACAATTTATTTTATTTTAGAAAACATTCTCAAATATTTTGGAACAGTAAACATGTCAGGCTAAGTAATAATAATAATAATACAGTTTATTTATATTGCATTTTTCTCAGACTCAAAGCACTAATGAGAGCAATAAATCACAGTAAGACATGAAATACACAAAGATGTAATGATGATAAGAAATGTAAGAAAGTAATGATGATAATAATAAAAAATACATATTTAAAAGAAAGCCTCATAAGTTATAAGCAATAATAAAAAGATGGGTTTTAAGAAGTTTCTTAAAACAGTCCAGGGAACTGGTGTTCCTTATGTTTGTGGGAAAGGCATTGCACAATTTAGGTGCACAATAAGAGAATAAGTTGCTAAGTTTGCAACGAGGCTGAAACGAGATGAACCCTAAAGCGGAATGTAGATTACGAGAGGAAGAGGAGGTAGATATAAGATCACATATATAATCAGGAGCAGAACAGCTTTATAAGTTAAAATCAAGGTTTTAAAATTGACGCGTGACTTAGGCTACCAGTTTAACTGTTTAAGTACAGGGGTATTGTGTGAGCGAGATGATGTGGGGGTTAACACACGTGTAAAATCTTAAGTGAATTGGCTGGCAGACCCCCAAATAAAGAGTTACACAAATCTAAATGAGACAAAATAAAAGCATGGACAAGCCTTTCAGTATCTGATGTAGAGAGAAAAGGGCTTCAAGAATTTAAATAAATCATTGACTTCTGCTGTATTCATTAGTTTCAAAAGCACAGATTTATTAACAACACATAAAAAAAACACCTTGCATATTCCTTAGGAACAGTATAACAGAAAATTTTAGCGGTTTTAAAACGTTGCCTTTTCCAAACCACGGTAAACGTTATCATACTATGCCTAGTGTCAAAATAATGGGTCTGTAATAGATTTTTAAGTGTCAATGAAATGCCGTTTGACATAGTTTACATGCCTTGTAGGAACACAAAATCCAGTATAAATTTGGAATTGAAGCTTACTCGAAAAAAGAAAACCAGGCGTGCACTCAAGTAAATTATGATGACGATTTTTATGCGTTCACTAAAGGGAGTAATGTGATTAACTTTGCCTCCACAGCTGACTATCAGGCAGCTGTAGAGTTAATGCGTTCCAGTAAAATATCTAGAAATAAAATGAAGCAGGTGCTTTTTAAAACGAATGACGGTGAATGAATGAAAGTGAAACCGGTGAGCCATCTGAAAGTGCCCTTCTGAATCAAATCAGCAGGATGCCTATCTGGGTCTTTCAGTTACTTTGAAGACTGGTGACTATGCTTACATGGACATCAGTAATAGGTATTAGCCCTAATCTAAATAAGACAATTATTATTCCTTTATTTATTATTATTCCTTTATTTAGCCAGGAGATCACATTGAGACAGTACTGTCTCTTCTTCCAGTGAGACCTGGTCAAGATGGCAGGCAGCACATAAAGTTTCATATAAAAATCACAAACAGTACCACAAAATTACAAAATCACCATTCTTAAAAACATCAGCTCATAAAAAACAATTGCAGATGTCCTTTAAAATGTTGTATAAAAGATGTTTAAAAGTACTCAGAGTCGGAAGAGTGTCAAGATTGAGATGATTTTGCAGGTCATTCCAAGCCCTGGGAGTGTAAACGGAAAAAGCACGTTTGCCAAGTTCTGATAGTACCCTTGGAACTATCAGACGAATACATGAACCAGATCTAGTGTGTTGGTTGTTGGTGTGAAATGTTAATAAATTAAAAATATAGGATGGTAATTTACCTAAAAGAGCCTTTAAGATAAATAAGTACAGATGTAATTTTCTCCTTTGATATAGAGATAACCAGTCTAAGGAATCATACAAAATACAGTGATGCGTCCGTGAGTCTGCACCTGTGACAAAACGTATTGCTGCATGATAAACAGAATCTAATTTTCTTAATAGGGTAGCGGTTGCATGCATATAGAGATGATCACCATAATCCATTAAAGACAGAAATGTACTCTCTACTAATTTTTTGCGGGCTTTATAAGGAAAACAATTTCTTGACCGATATAAAAAACGTAACTTCGGCCTAAGCTTTTTCAGTAACTTGTCAATGTGTATATCAAAGGCTAATCTCTCATCAATCCAAACACCTAGATATTTATAAAAGCTAACTCTTTCTATTTGAACACCGTTCAGATTTTTATTGTCTGATCTGTTGACTTAGTGCGGCCACGGCTAAAAATCATGTATTTAGTCTTTTTTGAATTTAAAAACAATTTTAAATTTTGCAACATACACTGCAATACTTGAAAAGCAATCTGTAGATGTTGTACAGCTTGGTTTAAAGAATGTGCTGCTGTATATATTATTGTGTCATCGGCATACAGGTGTATTTTAGCTGATTCTATTCCGTGACCTAAATCGTTAATATAAATAGAAAATAACAACGGAGCTAAAACCGATCCTTGGGGAACCCCAGTGTTAACATTTAGAAATGGTGAATTATAATTTTCTACTGTCACACATTGAGTGCGTTCTGAAAAGTAGTTTTCAAACCAGTTTAGAGCAGATTGAGTAAAACCTAAAAGCCTAAGTCTCTGCAACATTAGTTTGTGATCTACAGTATCAAAAGCTTTAGATAAATCAACAAATAAAGCAGCACAGGACTGTTTACTGTCTAAAGAGCATGTGATATCATTTAAGATTAAAGTAGCTGCAGTAACCGTACTGTGTCCCGTTCTGAATCCTGACTGGTGATCCTGAAGTATATTATTTATTGACAAATATTGTTTTAGTTGGTCATTTATCAATGACTCAAAGACCTTTGCTAAAACAGACAATCTGGAAATAGGACAGTAATTATTTGGGTCTGCAGGATCTCCCCCTTTTAATAATGGCGTAACCATAGCAGAATAATATAAATACGTGAAGTGTTTTTTAAATATTGTGTCACCAGGCTATTCACATTTCCTGCACGGTGTCATGTCATTTTGGGTGCTTCATCTTCAATTTCTCGACTTTAACTGCTGTTCGGCAGTTTAACTTTCACTCATGAACATTTCATTCATGCCCCCGTGACAAACTGGTGTATTTGATGGGAATATGAAGCGTAAATGAGAGCGTGTGCGCGTGGTCCTTTACTGACAGTCGCATGTGTGGATCTTGTCACAAAATGCCACACGACAGTAATAGTTTGATTGCAGTTTTCTTCTATAATGCCTCTATATATGCTTACTCCACGTCTTAATTGCATTTCTGTTTAGTTATGACTAGTGGGATTAAGGTAATCAAAAATCACGGTTTGCATAGTAGACTCTAATCAGAGCATCGTCTTAATCATATTAAAATTGTATTAAAGTATTGCTGCCCATGTAAACGTACTCGATGTTCGACTCAACCACATTGTCAGGGCTCTGCGAACTTGGCTTTGCGAAGCAGCACTTTCTGCATGTACATACATCAAAAGCAAGTAGTCTGCTGCTCACACTTATTGACGGTGGAAGATGATTTACGGTTAGTCATGTCAGGAATCCGACCACAGTTTAGCATGTTGTCCTCATAGAAGCAGGCTCAGCCATCACACTGAATCAGGTAAGCTCTATATTTATGTTTTAATGTCATTAATTCTACTCACTTTATAGGGGCGTGCATCCTAAAAGTTTGAGAACCCCTTGTCTGAAGGATGTCAATGTGTGGATGTTAAATAGTTGTCACTGTATTGACGAATTGATGTGCGTAGTTTATGATGTTTTAACATCAAGTAACCCACCTAGAATTAAAGTTTTAATTCTTTAATAGTTAGCTTTCAAAATGGCTTAAAAATAACCTAAAATCGGTGACATGGTGGTGCACTTGGTAGAGCTGTCGAATAACAGAAAGAAGGTCACTAGTTCGAGCCCAAACTGAGTCAGTTGGCGTTTCTGTGTGAAGTTTGCATTTTCTCCCCAAGTTGGCGTGGGTTTCCTCCGGGTGCTCCAGTTTCCCCTACAAGTGCAAAGACATGCGCTATAGGTGAATTAGATCAACTAAATTGCCCGTAGTGTGTGTGTGTGTGTGTGAAAGTGAGAGTCCATGGATGTTTCCCAGTACTGGGCTGCGGCTGAAGGGGCATCCACTGCGTAAAACATGCTAGATAATATTAATAATAATTTATTTTTTATATAGCATCTTGAAAACGTAACTCTCAAAGTGCTTTACACAACAAAGATACAGATATAGAAAACAGTTTAGAATATCAGTAAAATTTAAACATTCAAAATAAAATGTTCAAAATTGATAAAACATTCAAATATCTAGAAACAGAAAACAAACCAGGAAAAGCACACCTTATAGGCACGTGTAGAGTAGTGAGTTTTCAAGGATGATTTAAACAATCTAAAAGATTCAGTGTGTGTAATCTCATAGGGGAGAGAGTTCTAGAGCCTCTGGGACAAGGATAAGTAAACCCAGTCACCCATAGAGCGCAGATGAGTGGAGGGGACTGTAAAAAGATCAGAGTCAAAGGAACGAAAGTCACGTGAAGGGGAGTACCATGTTAAAAGTTCAGACATATAGTATAAAGCTAAACCTTGCAGGTCCTTGTATGCAAGCATGATGAGTTTCAAATCAATACAAAATCTGAAAGGCAGCCAGTGGAGAGATGCACTGAAAAAATTGTTGCATGCAAAACTGTTGAAAGCAATTTATTTGTGTTGAATTTAAACAAACAAATTAAATTTAATTAAGTTCAACTTTATTTGTTTGTTTAAATTCAGCCCAGATAAATTGTTTACAACCACTTAACGTAAAAAAATTTAGTAAATCAAAGGTATCATCTTTGAATATTTTTTTTCAGTGT